ACCTCTTCGAGGGCAACCTCAAGCTGAACGTCAACTTGTTGTTGCATCTTCTGTACAAGAAATTCTACCGCACGCAATAAACAAGCGCGAGTGGCAGCAACACACACAGCAATGAGACATGGCTTGACGGGATGACTTGGGCATGGAGCGGTGTCGCGGGCGTGCGGATCTTTTTCTCTTACCCTCTTCGTTGGGACGCATCAAAACGAAGCATGTTACTTGGGCCGCATATTGGGTTGACTTGACACAGCAAGGCGAGGGCGGGTTCGGTCATCTTTACCTTTTTTCCTTTCCTTTTCTTTTTCAAGATTGCATTGCGGGGAAAACAAAAATTCGATCAACTGGGAGAGACATTGCTTGTAGGAGTAGGTATGTACGAGGAACACACACGAACACAACGACAACGGCAACACACGCACAGACATTCGTTGGGTGTTGTAGAGAATCGCTCCCATTCCCAAAGTGGCTTGAAGGAGGACTGCCGAAGTAGGGGAAGCGGGGAGCAAAAAAGGCCTGGAGAGAAGGCGGCGGCAGCGGCAGCGGAAGGCAAGGGACATCGGGAGCGGGATAGGACTGGGCATGGGAATGGGAATGGGACGGGGTTGGATGGATGCATATGTCGCACGCGAGACTAAGAGCGGCGAGAACTATGCTACTTAACTAGTTGATACCTTTTTGAATGTTAACCCGCATTGTTGAATATCTCTGTGCATGTGATATGTGTGTGGCCGATGCGTAAACGTGAACAATGTGTTTGAAGATGAGTGGCTGTGATACGTGCGATAGATAGCTAATGCACTTGCAACTGCTCCCTCCCCCGACGCTGGCCGTACGTCCTGGACACCACCATTTCTTGGATCAATGGACTTGGAAGACTGGAAGGGGAAAAAAAAAAAAAGAGTTTCTGGAGCTTGAAGGAAACGTGTACAATGTGTTTGAAAATGAGTGGTTCGTTTAGTTGATCGAAGGGGGTGGTGACGCTTTCCCCCACTACACTCTACGATTCTCAGCGTGACAGCCTTGTAGGTTTGTGGACGTTGGGTGCGCGCGTGAGCTGAATTGTTGTGGATTTTGCGCCAAGCGTTCGACGGCGAAACGCGAAGGGGTGGTCATGTGAGGCCCATTTCGAGACTTGAGATGATGAAAGGAAAGGGAAATCCGGGGTAAGGATAATGGGTCGCTATTGGCGAGGGCACGAGATCACGAGAGGTTGGCCGTTGCGGCTCGTCTGGATGGGAAGTCCTGGTGGGAGACTTTTCTACGGGTGATGTTGACAAGGGACCCAGCCAAGACCATGATGAGGCGGGCGGGGCTGTGAGGGACGACGAGGGAGGGTGATGGAGGAAGAGAGTGTGAGTGGTTGCGATAGCCGTGTGGGAAAAAATAAAGGGGGGCGTGATGTTCTAGGCCGATCATCGATCGCAAGCCGCCGTGGCCGATTCACGGGAAGAATTTCAGACGGACTTTCTGTGTTGCTTGGTAGATTATCATATTCCACTTTGTTCATAAGAGGGGCAACGCCGGCTGGGTTGGGTGACGGGGGAGATGCAATGTCTGGGGATGTTTGGTGTTAGTTGTTTCGCTGTTATGGAGATGTGCTGGATTGGTGCATAATCTGTCAGCCTTCTCGACGAGGGAAGGTTGGGTTCGTTGGCGCGCGATGCAAGATGGTGGGCATGGCAGAGGACCCCTGGGCTTGTCTTGGTTCGGGACTCGGTGAGTGGGTTGTTGGAGGTGGACTGGTGGTTTGTCTTTGTCTGATGCATGTTGAAGCGAGCGGCCAGGTTCGGGATGTGCGTCTGGTTTGCTTGGGAGGCGCAGCGCGAAGTAGCTTGGCGTGATATGCGTGTTGCGGGATGTTCGGGGCACACAAGCGCAGCAGGTCTAGCCCAGTCACTGCTTGCCAGTGAGTGGCAGGATAGCTGCACATCAGTCACCTAAGGCGGCGACCGTCTTTGCCAATGGCGCTGATTCCAAAACGCCATTTATGCATTTAGTGGGTGAGACGGGGGGAGTGATGACCATCAGATGATCACCCAATACCATGCAGGCGGACTGTAAAGGGGCGCGAGTGACGAGGACAACAGCCGAAAACGAAGATGAGCCATGGCACTGCTGATGGTCGGGGAAGAGGGAGCACCGGGGCAGAGCAGACGGAAGAGCAGGGCAACGAAAAATCCCGTGGATGGATCGCCGGGCATTTTGTGATCCTCGCATCCCATGATGGAAGCTCGGGAAGATGGAGCCTTGATGGCGCTGTTCCTGCAGGCGAATGGATGGATTTGGTCGATGATGAAACGAATCGAAAGCAATTTGACTCGGATTCCGCTGTTTTAGTTGATGAAGCAATAACGGAGTGCGATGATGTGATTGCGGCATGGCTGACGGGATGGACGCCGGGGCCACCTTCGCCAGCGGTAAAAGTAGAAATCAGATTTCGAATACGGCGAGCTGGCGCGTGCGTCACGCTTCCTTGGCTTAGCAAGCATGGGTCGAAAGCCAGATGATTCAGAGAGGCGGTCTTTTTGGCATTGCGGCGCAACATGCTCCACGTCTCACGGTAAGGCGAAAGAAAAGAAGGCAATGGCGTGACCGGGCAGCCGTGAAGGTAACCCCGCAATTGCGGGGTCGGAGGCGGCTCCAGGTCGGAGCTGGACGCCATCACGACATTTCCTAAGCTTCTCGATGGTGGAATCGCCATGCCCTTGGAGATCGGCTTCGAGATGTGCGGTAGCCCAGAAATGTCAAGGGCGCTGGTGTAAAACCCGGAGAAGGCGTGGATGCTCGCGATGGCGACATCGGCTGTTGCTCCGAAGGCCCGTTCCTCACCCACACCGAGCGAGTCTGGAGAGAGTGCCCCGTTCACTGCAATTCGTAACCACGGCGTTGGTGTCGTGTGTCCTACCCTACATGCGTATACTGGGGCTTTTTCGGGGGCCGTGGAGAGCCCAGAGATGCGGAATGGAGACATCCTTGACAATCAGGTTGATGCTAAGTGGGCAGCTTTGATATCTCGGTCGAGACCCATGGTGCCGGGTTGTTTCGCGTGTCCTGTCTTCCGGTCTTATCTGTGGAGAGGTGTAGTTGACGAGCAAACGGCGTCCTCCGCAATTTTGATCGCGTGCACGCAGAACGGCAGCACAGGAACGCAACCACACAACCCCTCATGAGAGAGGACGTTGACAAGAAAAATTCTCGGTGTACCCTCGTCGCACGTCAAGCATATCTGTCCAATGATGCCAGCTAATCGGAGGAGAGCCTGACATGGGTTTGAGCGACGCTTATGCAGGTTGGGCACTGGTCTCTGGGTAATTGTCCAGATGCAGGTGGGCGATTGCGGTTTAGTGGTCGAGATCCAGGGGTCCAAGTAGCAGGGAAGACGACGTAGTGCCTCTTTGATGGTTGTGTAATCCATCCATCCGCCGGTATCCGTACCACCTTAGGCGGTACAGAGAACGATATTCCTGCTTGAAGCATAAGCCGTCGGCCGGGTCGGTGTCAGTCGCCGGGGTACCAATCCGAAGATGCCTGATCATGGGAGAGGCACGAGAGACGGGCGACAGGCAGGCCCATGCTTGTTGTTCTAGAAGGTCTAGCCGACCGTTTTGGAGGCTTTTCGCTGCTTTTCCGTTTGTGGTAGATCTCTCACACCGCCATCTATCGCCTCGCTGGCGCACATCGTGACGAAGTGGAAAAAACTGCACAGACTGACAGACCACGCACCGCGTCTAACCAGATGGCGAAGGAGCTAGACGGTGAGCTGTTGGTCAACTGGAGTCGGACGGGGAAGATGTTGCTTCTTTATGATGCAAACACGGCAACACGGAGATTATGCCGCGAGACAATCGATATGCTGCAAGTATTGGGAGGCTTGGAAGCTGCGTGACTGGCTGGTGGATGCTCCGCTTGGGACAATTCGCCATAGGCTGATCGAAATGCGCAATCTTTGACACATGCGACGACCTGTCCTCGTTGGGGACCGAGCTGCGGACTAGCGCGTGCTGTGTAGCGGCATGAAGGACCATTACGAAGCAGGGAGAAGCTCGAAGAAGCAGGCAGGGCAGAGCATGTCGGAGGGTCTCTGGCAGCAGACATTTGATGACTTTCCCGCATTACCTAAGTCGCACACCGCGGACACAGGAATTGGCGGCGGCGTTGGGCTCCGACTGCCTGCTCCAGTTGAGGGTGAGGGTGAGGGCAGGATTGGACTGCGCTGGACGGAAGTTGCTCATCTTTTTCTGGGCATGGATCTTGAACACTGGTCAGCTGCACCCCCGTGACATTGCATGAGTCGGGAAAGCTCCACAAAGCCGGCGGGCCAGTTCAGGCGATGCCACGGTGGGTTGAGTGAGAAGCGGCGCTGTCTGGGGTATCCTTATCAGCACCACACCTCAACCATCTCTGTATCCGTGGCAGGTCGTCTAGTTGCATAGATACTGTGGTTGCATAGCGTCGCGCCCCGTTTGGCGCTCTGTCTCTCTCTCGTCCACGCCTGCTCAGGTGGCCTCCTTCTCCACGTCCCGCCGCTCTTTCCTATCGGACACGCAGGGCCCCGGGGATGGTTCTCGAGGGGAGGGACGTGGACTCCCATCTGTGACTGTGGTGTGGACTAATCGTTCTTTCCCTCGCGCGCCCTCCCCTTGAGCCAAGCAACGCCCAATTTGTTAAATGACGGCGCCTCCCACATACAACTTCGACTGGCTTTTCCCTTTTCTGTCTCATCATCTTCAAAGTTCGGCTGGTTGAAGCTTTTTTACCTTTGCCTTTGCCTTTGCCCCTGCCCTTGGTCACTTACAACAAACACTACCCGTTCTCATCATCACCATCCAACACCTACCAACTTTGTTGTCACCGTCTTGACCGCCTATTTTTCTGTCCAGACTTGCCTGCCCGTTTCTCACACCAGTCAGGCACGCATCACCAACCTTTTATTGTTCCAAGGCATCGTCCTTTTACATCGAGAGTCCATCCTCCTCTGCCCGTTGGCGTCCGTGAGCAAAATGGCTCCCGACCTCAACTCTCTCCCCTCCTCGCCTCTGGCCCAGCCTATTGGCAAGTCGGCCAACGCCAATGGCAATGGCGCCGCGCCGGCCAAGCAGCCCAACATTCTCTTCATCATGGCCGACCAGCTCGCTGCTCCTCAACTCAAGATGTACAACCCGGAATCTCAGATCAAGACCCCAAACCTTGATGCCCTAGCTGCCCAGTCCGTCCAGTTCGACTCGGCCTACTGCCCTTCACCACTCTGCGCGCCATCCCGCATGAGTTTGATCTCAGGACTTCTTCCCATGAAGATCGGCGCGTATGACAACGCTGCTCAGATTTCCAGTGAAATTCCTACTTACGCCCACTACCTGCGGTTGAAGGGCTACCAGACGGCGCTTGCTGGCAAGATGCACTTCATCGGAGACCAGCTGCACGGCTATGAGACCCGCCTCACCAGCGACATCTACCCAGGCGATTTCGGCTGGGCCGTCAACTGGGATGAGCCCGACACCCGGCTTGAGTGGTACCACAACTCCAGCTCCATTCTTCAAGCCGGCACCTGTGTGCGAAGCAACCAGCTGGACTACGACGAAGAGGTCATGTACAAATCCTCCCAGTTCTTGTACGATCACGTTCGGGAGGACCCCGAGAAGAAGCGGCCTTTCGCTCTGACGGTGTCCCTGACTCACCCTCACGATCCGTACACTATTGAGGAGAAGTTTTGGGATCTCTACGAGGACGTTGACATTGCACTTCCAAAGGTCCGCATTCCCAAGGAAGAACAAGATCCCCACAGCAAGCGCCTCATGAAGGTCTGCGATCTTTGGGATTACGATTTCACCGATGAGCAAATCAAGCGGGCACGTCGCGCTTACTACGGAGCTGTGAGCTACGTCGATGACTGCGTTGGAAGACTTCTGTCCGTGCTCAAGAAGTGCGGTCTAGAGGATGACACTATCATCGTTTTCAGCGGCGACCACGGCGACATGCTTGGCGAGCGTGGGCTGTGGTACAAGATGAGCTACTTTGAGTCGTCTGTCCGAGTGCCCCTGTTCGTCCGCCACCCCAAGCAGTTTGAGCCTCACCGTGTTACCAAGAATGTCTCAACACTGGATATTCTCCCCACGTTGTGCGACCTGGTTGGCACTAAGCCTTTGCCCGGTCTGCCGATGGACGGAGTTTCACTGCTTCCCCATCTTCAGGGCAGGGAGGGCCACGACAAGGTTTACGCCGAGTACACCGGCGAGGGAACCGTCAGCCCACTGATGATGATTCGCGAGGGTCCCTGGAAGTACATTTACTGCCCAGCCGATGGCACGCAGCTGTTCAACCTCGAGCACGACCCCTTGGAGCTCGTCAACTTGGCATCCGGCAAGGCCCCGAAAGCCATTGAGGCGGAAGCCAAGGCCAAGCTGGAGGAGTATGCCACCGAGACGAAGGGCAAGTGGGACTTTGACGCCATCACCGAGGAGGTCCTGCAGTCTCAGCGCAAGCGCCGCCTTGTGTGGTCTGCTCTGACCAAGGGTGCTTTCACCAGCTGGGACCACAACCCCGAGGACGACGGCAGAACGAAGTGAGTCACCCAGCAATTGAGTTTGGTGTCCAATACTAATTACCTCTCAAAGGTACATCCGTTCTCAGATCCCCCTCGACGACCTTGAGCGCCGCGCCCGCTACCCGGCTGTCGACACCTACGGCAGGGTGATTGGCTCCGCCGTCGCCGGACACCGCGTTTTGGTTGACCAAGCTGGTTCTCATGGCCAGTAAACGCTTTTGAACGATTTTTAATGATGATGACCATGTAAAATGCATTATTGGGATGGCGTTCGGATATATCATGGGAGCTAGCCACGCATTTCTTCTCTTTCGCTGATGTCCACATTGCAAATCATAGCGTTTGAGCAAAGATACCAGACGGATCATGCTCCTCTGTATATCATCTTTTTTGATGAGGGTCACGAGAAACAGACCCCAGATAGCAAATTGACTACAATCATATATATCACATGACCAAAATTGAGTGTAATGCCACGGTGAGAGCTAGTTTGTGCCCCTGGAGCGTCGAGGTAAACTTCGCCTAGAAATGCCCGATGCTGCCGTTTGGAAGGAGCTGCCGCGCTCGTCTGAAGGGGGGATCTGAAGAGAAGAAGTTTGTGCCTGTGACATGTGTGGAAGTTCAATGGTGAGGTCTCACTGGCTAGAGCTTCGATGAGAAGGTGGTGTCATCCTTGTCACGCACAGCGGGGATCCTTGCCCCTGCATCATTGGGGTCACCGCCCAGCCGAAGGCGGAGCTAGTGGACCCACACCTTCCCCGGCGGTTTTTTGAGCTTCTTGGAACCGCAACTCTTCTTCGGCCTTCGCTATGCAACAACACTCTGCGGCTTCGAGCTGTCGCAAACCACGCCGCCATCCGTGACAACCTTTCTGGTGACTGAATCACGTCTAATATATTCCAAATCCGCTGTACGGACCGGGAAATAGTCGGTGGTGGCAACCGCGACCGGAAAAAACACAGCAAGCCCTCTCGATTGTCGATCCCCTTCCTCTCACACATCCGACGACAAGCGCGACCATGGAGAAGCCCAACGCACTCGGCATCTCCGCTGATGATTTTAGGGCAATTGAACAGACGCGTCAGCGTCTCTTTCAGTTGTCTAACAGCATCCAGGGTCTGAAGATGGACGTGCTGAAGAGCAATCCGCTCCCGCCTCCGTATGTTTACAACCCCCCCCGACGGGCCTTTCATTTCAGCTAGGCTAGCTTTTCCTCCCCTCGTATGATGCCTCTTGATGTGCATTGACTAACTTTGGCGAGCCAATAGATCCTCTCTCCACGCCACATCTCAGATCCTCCTACGCAACCTGCAAAACCTCCTCGACAACCTGACCGAAAACATCCACGTCTTCCAGCACCTACACGTCTTCCCAGACGTCTCGTTTCCGGGACGTAACCAGGAGCATATCCTTGGTCAGCTCGTCCGCAAGAAATTGGAACCCGGCGTCGAGGAGTGGGTCGAGCGTGGCCGCGAGACGACTCGGGAACTCCGCGGGGAGGGAGAGGGTGACGGTGTCACGGCGGATGGCGAGGCTAAGCTGGAGGAGGTGTGGCGCGAAGTCCGCGCGTGGACTGTCGAGCGCGTACAGAAATATGTTCTTGAGGAGGCGGGCGATGTGTACACCGAGGAGGAACGCGAGAAGGGGGTCGAGAATGTGAGGACGGGGCTCAAGAGGGGCTTGGAGGAGGACGAAGATAGCGAAGACGAAGAGGGAGATGGAGACGAGGATGTCGTCATGGGAGGGCAGCAGCAGCAGCAGCAACAGCCGCCGCCGCCGAAGAGAACAGGCCCTGAGCCGGAGATGCTGTTCTGGTTCGAGGCGAACGGGGACTTCGACCTGAATCGAAATGTGGAGTTATTGAGTCGGGCGGGGACGAAGCGTGGGCCGATGGGGGCGAGGAAGTAGGGAAATATGCGCATGATACCCTGCCGCAGACGCGGCGTTCACTTGAAAACAATGCATTCACGTTGTATAAGGAGGAAGCTGCTGATCAGCTGCGATGTCGTACATGCCGTGCCGAGGTTGTTCTGTGGACCAGCTCCATTAAGTTTGCTCGCCGGCTGGGTCACTTGCAGCGACATTCGACGATTTGATCTCTCAGCGAAGAGCCGCAAACTGTCTCCGTGTTGGACGAGCACCTATATCAATTCGAACTGTGTGGTAAGCCGGATAAGGGGCTGGAGTCCAGCTACATTGAAGGGTTGTTGCCTGGGCTGCAACCTCTATCAGGGACCTTCACATTTAATAAAACAGTTCCGGGCAAACGTATCCCGAGGCCGTCTTGGCCCAGCGGCAAGTCAAAGATAGGGTGCAAAAACACTGGGCGTGCGTTAAGCCCTCAGGTTTTCGTAGGTTCGATCCCCGGTGGTCGAATTGAGCTTTATTTTCTTTTCTTTTTCTTCCCGCGTATACGTTTTGTCCTCCCGCCTCACCTGCCCCTCCAGGGCTACGGACACGTGCCTGGAGCCATCACGCAAACTGCCCACGATTGCGTTTAGATGAGCGGCTGCTGAGGCTGTTCTCAGTGCTATGGTACCTTAGCCTTGATGGGAAGGCACGGGATCTGGGGAACTTCCGTCATTCTGGCGGAATGAGTCAAACCGGAATCGCCCATGTTCTTCTCTGCTCACCGACTTCGCCTCAACCAGCAATTGACAGAACGCCCTGACTCAATTCCCGCCCTGACGTGATCCTGAACTCATCCTGGTCACTCGAACAGGTTCCAGAAGCCCCCTCGTCGAATTCGAAGCCTTAGAATCGCTTGCGTTATCGGCCCCCATCGCTCACGCGATGCTCTCCTCGTCCAGCCCCCAAGTTCTAGGTATCGGGAGCCCTCGGGAAGTGGAGATCTGGTTCCTGGCGCCTTTCCCAATCGTGACCACACGTCAGCCCGTAGGCTGTCTCCCCGCCCGAGTTGACAACCACGATGTCTCCACGATGTCTCCACATAGCGTCGTGGACGGTCCAGGGTTCTTCGGGCCGCAACGAGGCTCCACACCAGGTCTTCGTCTCTGGCAAGCTATTCCTGGACGACACGATAGCCGCCGCTCTGAAAAAGCCTTCGTAGGCCGAGAACCGAGGGCCTGCCATATCGGGGATGGGAGGCCTTTCCTTGCCGCAATGACACGATCGGACTTTTCGAGGCACTGAAGAATCTGCATGGAACGGAGACAGGACGAGAGCGGACATCGAATCGGTGTTGCCGAGCTACCTCTTGATGCCTCACCGCAAGAACGTCGTCCGTCAACAGTGCCATAGCAGCACAACCTTCGTCATCCTTTGGCTGTTGGGAAACCATCGGTCCTTAAGCGATTCCCGAGTCCATTTTGGGCGTCGATGGGGGCGGGTCTACCCCGGATCCTGAGCTTCCTCTTCGTCCATGCCTCTCTCCTGAAGAGTCACACTCTCGTGGTATTCTCCGTCTGTTGCCCGAAGCTCCGCTGAAGCAGATGTGCTGGCATCGTTGCCGTTCTGGGCTGAAACCTGCACCGATGGGGATGCAGAGGAGAAAACGCCGGGGTGCTGGTTTGTCCCCCTGTTTCCGCGGTGCTGGTGATTGGCTTCGTCGAAGCGCTGCGGATGGAAACTGTGGGTCTCGTGATGCGTTGGACCACGAGCCACTTCGACGTGGTGGAAGACGAGGCAATCACCTGGGCTCAATTGAAGCTCACCGCTAGATCCCAGTCCGATTGGGAAATTGGGCAAGGGGAAACGGGGCTGGCCTCGTGGTGCTGTCGATGTTCTACTGGATGGCCGAGTGGGCGTGGTTCTTCAGTGAGGAAGACCAACCACTCGCCGAACGACATTGGGCAATGCGTTGTGACCACGCATGTTGACTAATTGAGATTCTGGCCGTGAATAATTGAGGCTCGAAATCCCGTCTCGAAAATCTCAAGCTCATGATTCAGACAACAACAAACAACACGAGTCCAATGTCCGACCACCAGCAAGCAATGCACAAGACCGTCTCGCATGATACGCATCAGAGCGAGAAGCCGGTCTTGTCTCCGCGCTGCCTAGAGAGTACACCAGAGGCTTGCCCGTGCTCGGGCAGCCGTCTGGAAAGCTACTTCCGATTCTGCGATGCTGCCATCCGCAACGACAAGGCATTCGATAAGAATGCCATCACCAAGCTGGAGGATATCCTCAGCCACATGAGATCGAATCCCGATGTTGTTCCAAAGGGACTAGACGGCGGTCATCGTGAGCTTGTCGAGACTGCGGTCCGCATCGCTTTCATGACCGACTGCTCCGCGGTGGACCTCTCGGATGACGAGCTGGAAAAGGGCCACCCCAGTTCCGAATGGAAGAATGCGGAGCCCCTCAGCAAGTTCGTCGAGAGGTTCTTTGGCTCTGATCGGCCCAAATCTGGCGGCTTCCCTGATCAGCTTGGGACCGCAGACACCAAGGTCGATCTCAGAGCCACGAAGCTGAGAAAGACACTGGGCCTGTCCATTCGACCGACTGACGACATCCGCGATCATCTCAAGCTCGATCGAAAGACCATGACTCTCGAGGTCTTCCACTACACTGGCTTCATCAAGGAGCACCTCCGGCTCACAAGGAGCCTCCCCAGCAACTCCACCGTCCAAGATGCTCTCAAAGCGTATGATTACCCCATCAAAACCATGACATGCAGATGACTGACATTCCATTGTTCAGAGGAGCCCTTCCCCGCCAGTTGATGCTGGAGGTACTGGAGTCCCTGCAGGGCGTTCTGTTCCCAGTCTCGGACAGGAAATCCCGAAAGATGCTGGCATCTTTCGTCAAGAGCGGGGCTTTCGACCCAGACATTCAGAACATCGAGTTCGATACGATCAAGAACAAGGGGGAAGAGACGGTCCGCTTCGTTCACCTGGCGAAGCGACTGGAGGATCTCCACCACGAAGTCCTCAACCCAAAGCCCAGGAGTCTCTTGGAACGCCAACTCGACAGGCATATCGGCACCCGACGCATGATGCTTGCAACTTTGATCGGCGTCCTCTTCGCGGTCTTCCTGGGACTCTTCTCGCTGGCCATCAGCTCGTACCAAGCCTACATTGCTTACCAGGCGTGGCAACACCCGATGTCCCCCGCTGGAGCCTGAACTGCATAATGCGGGGTATCACGACACGACACGGATATCGGTCGCAGATCAGGGCGGAACGGTGAAGGCAGACTGGCATTTCTGGAGGTGTCTTTCCTTCATGTCGATTTCCTTTCAAAATCGAAAAAACATACGGCCTTACGCATGTGTCGGGAGGCAGTTAAGGTTGAATTTGACAACGTCAATGACCTCAGACGATCCACTGCTGCGCTGATGCTGGCACGTGCCGAGGAGGGCCGGGACGTTGTAACCGTTCGTCCAATCTTTCATGCCCGCCGATCGCCATCAACCCTGTTTCTTCCTAGCGTACCTGCCGTTTTTGGGAGCCCTTTTTGGGGTTTCTAGGAACAAAATGTTACGAGGGGAAGTCACAACGGATCGACATCTCGTTGCCTTTTGCGTCTTTCAAGACGAACTCTCAGGAACAGAGGATGGGCCTCTCTTTCCTGTCGCAACGATCTTCTTTTGGTTTCCCAGAGCATCCACGAAAAACCGGACGACGATTTCCTACAAAGAAGCTTTGGTGGTCGCAGATTCACCTGCCTGCCGTTGCCAAGACGTACTGTCCCAATTTCGAAGCTCTGAAACGACACAAATGCTTTCGACACCAATTCCCGCTGCGAATACAATCCAATTTCGCGGTTACTTTGTACCATGCAAGTCCATGGGAAGGCGGCGTAGACTTTTGTGTTGACCGCTCTTGGATCTAGCTTGGGTGCGGCTAAGGAGTGCCCATCAAAGGGTCCCTCCTGCACCGAGAACATGGTCTAAGCAGGTGTAACGGAACATCGTAAAGCCTTGCAGAGGCTGAGTGGAGGGGGCGGCGAGATATATCATGTTATGGGTTATTTCTGATGGTAGTACTGGTGAAGTTGATATTGAGGTGGAAATTGGTGCGGCTAAGTATGGCTTCACTTGGATGTGGCAGTGTTTTCTAGCTGTATTGGACCTGGCAAACACTTTCGGAGGAGGATCTAGACGATAGACAGCGAGCTCATAACCACAAAATGAATATCATTTGGGCCTGTCAAGCACACTGTTTTGGATTACTTTCAGTCAAAACATTGAACCACACCGCCAAGGCCAATTTCCATGTCTGCCAGCGATTGGCAAATCCCCAGGTGATACTCATGCCTTGACAACAAACCTTAGCGAGAGCCTCAACCCCATGCATATGTCAATCTTCTTGCAATCAGCCCTACAAAACCAAAAGGACGGCCCTTCCCTAATGAACGCCATGACGGCGCTCCCATTTCATCCTCTACAATATATAGAACCTCCCGAGTAGGGCTGAGATGACAGGGTTACCGGCTGATCCCCTTGGCATTACCGTTCAGCTTCAAATGCCATCAAACCTCCCACAATTACTGCACATGCACGCTGGCAATCAGATGCCTTACGATCAGTCCCGACCGCAAGCCAAAACCAACGCCTGGGATGTAGCAATGGTTTTGTAAGCCGTTTGAGCCGTCTCTCTGCCGCCCGCAACATCGCGTGGTTATCACTCTCGACGTGGACCATACTTCCTGCGAAGTCCTTTGGTTCGTTACCTTGGATTTCCCCAAAGGCAGTCTTCCCAAGGCTTCCTTACTCAATCTTCTGCCTCAAAGCTTCCTGTTCCTTGACCCTGGCGCCTCGAATGCCTTCAATGATCCTCGCTCCTACCCGCGAACACTACACCGTGAGCCCTTGCCGGCAATCGCAGTGCATGCGTGCCTACCTGCCTGTCTGCCTGCTTGTATGTGATCAGGAGCTTTTCGTGACGCGTCATGGGAAAGGGCAGGTCAACACGCCTGCCTAGTAGTATTTTTAACGTTGCCCCATTTTCCCTGGCGGAAGGAGGTCCAAAGCACCAACACTGTGAAAAGCGACCTAAGGGGGGGGGTTGTGTCCCTCCGCCTTCCCATTCTATCTCCGCACTTGCTCTATTAGATCATATGTATTTAACGGCAGGCGGCTTCTGGGGCTGCTTTCACCGTCCCTTTTATTTTCTCTTTATGACTCAACTGGTCTGGAACGTTCCTCTGTACAAATACAACTTCAGCATCCCTCAATCCCCTCTACGTCGCCAAATCATCGCCACATCATTGTGAAAGCATCTTCAATATGACGAGAAGCGTCCATTATGTCTCCAGTCAGGATGCTGGCTTTGAGAATCTCCCGATCTTTCCAACGGGCTACTTGGCCTTCAGGCTCCTCCAGGTTGCCCTCGCCGTATCACTCCTCGTCATCTGCGCGTGGGCCATGATCTTTATGGTCACTTGGTCTCACATTTACATGCTCGTCTATGTGAGTACCAGCAGTACGCCTCACCGAAGGAGCTCCACGTCGACTAACGCGCCGCCTCGCAAAGTGCTCAGCCGTCATCGTCGTTAACTTCTGGCACCTCATCTCTTACTACCACGCGCCGAAAGTCTACAATTGTACGAATCCTCCTCCACCTCTCATGAAAGCATTATGTTGACATTTGCGTCTGAATCAGACTGGGTAGTGCTCGCATTCGACATAATCTTCCTCCCTGGCTTGTTTCCCATCTCCGTCCTGACCGCCATGTCCGCCGCGGAAGGCGCGTATGTGGCCGACAGATACAATTGGGGGGCCGCCTCCGTGTACATGGTTTTGACCGTCATAGGTTTCCTAATCGTGTAAGTCATTATCTCCTAAAAATAGCCAAAGACTCTCTAACCATGCCCACAAAGGGTCTCCTTTGTCATGTCCCTAATACTTCACGTTATCGGTATCAAACGCCACCGCAGGGACAGATTGCACAGCCGCCCAGTGAAGGAGAATCATCACGTCGACAGCGAGAGTCAGAACGCCCAGGCCACCACTAATGCGCCCTACCGGCCCGTCAACCAGAGTCAGAACAGCCTGCCTTACCCGAACCACCCACAGCAGCAGACGGCCAACCAACAACAGCAGACGGCCGAGCAACAACAGCAGACGGCCGAGCAACAGCAGCAGGCGGCCGAGCAACAGCAGCAGACGGCCGAGCAACAACAGCAGACGGCCAGGCCACCGATGCCGGACACTCATTAGGTGTCTGGTAGGCATTAACGAGATGGCGTTGAGTCTGATAATGCTACAGCTGTGTAGTACACGGCATGGGCGAGGGAATGAATTTTTACATGGGCGGCGTCTCGGTTTGAGCTCGAAACAGGCTTTATTGAGCACAGTTTCTTTATAGTATCCACTTCCGGCCGACGCCTGTATGGTAACCTGGTAGTAGAACCTAATACGAATCCTTCAATGATGAATGATCTCCTGATCACTCAATGTGTAAAGGTGTTACAAGTCATCAGGATTGTGCCGGGAAAATGTGATCTACAATCAATTGCTATGAATTAATATAACGCCTGCGTGTATGACTGGGGTATCTATGCCAAATCATTCCAGTTCTCTGTGCTAAAGTCCGGCCAGTACAGTCCTTGATGGTCATCGTAGAACGAGGCCTCCAAAAACTGCAAATCCAGCACCGGCTGAGCCAGGAGCTCCTCAAGAGACGGCTCCGTGAGGGCCATCCCCGCCGTCGTGTGCGCCGGCAGCATCGGCGCGGGGCCAAACTGCGACATCGCCGAGCCAACCCCAGTGAACCGCGACGACACGTCTTCGGCCGCCAGCCCGCGTGTATGCTGCTCCCCGAGCGCCAGCCCCATCCTCTTAGCGTACACCTTGTCCAGGTCCGCCTTCATCACATCGACGTGGTGGCAGTACTCCTGGGCGGCGAAGTTGCCGGCGTCGCGCAGCTGGGACAGGAACCGTGCCGACTCCTCAAAGGCCTCCCTGTCGCTCCTGCTCTCGGGGCCGTCGAGGAGGCTCGATGCTGCGAGGATGGTCAGCGCTGAGAAGAGGTACTGGGTGTAGAAGTAGTCAAAGGTGGCGAAGGAGCCGTCGATCCAGGAGTCTGTGAGGAGGCGGATGGAGTGGCGGGCGCAGCGGATGCAGGCCTCGGAGAGGGTGATGGCGCTGGCGGGTACCTGTGCGTCTGTAACGGGGGATGATGAGGGCCATGAGGCGACTTGCGTGCGCAAGATGTGAAGTAGGATGGGTCGTGTGGCCAGGATGGCACACTGATTTTGTTAGCAGTGAGTCGCGATTATCCAGAAGAAAACAGGGGAGTATCTTACCTGGTTGAAGGACAAGTGAAGGGAAATGGGCTTTGGTCCAGAGTCTGGGTTATCGATCTGAAGGTGGGTGGGCAAATCCTCGACCCAAGCCCGGAGGTCTTTTAGGGCTTGTTGCACTCTTGTTGACAGAGTGGCATCTCCCTGATTGCGTTGGCCATAGATTGAGCGGACAGTCTTTGTCACGAGGGCTGCTAAACGCAGGTTGGCGATGTGGTAAGCGGCATCGTCAAAGTCGGCGCCAAAGGTTTGGCCGACGACAGGTTCTGAGGGCAGATCCACGCCTATGTCGTTATCTTGGATGGCGCTTGGATGACCTAGCTTGGAGGCCCACACACGATCAAAGATGTACGTCGTCCAGAAGAGCCGCTTCCTGTGCTCTCGCAGGTCGGGGTCACGAAGCTGAGATTCTGGAATATTGAGATGGAGGCCCATCACTATGGCCATCCGCATAGCTGTCCCGGACATGACGAAGGCACTGTACCGGCGATTGAGCACTAGAGAATAGAAGGACTGCGGCAGTTAGAACCCATTACAAGACGGGCAGATGATTCACAGTTGGACGTACAAGGAGGAGCATAATCTCGATGGAGTCTGTGCCAGGCCGCTCATCGAGCAGGCCGAGTATCCTAGAAGCTTTCGCAAAGTAGGCCATGCCGGGAAAGTCCCTCTCCGACGGGATGGAGCGGGTCGAGTATAGTTCACCAATGGCGAAGAGCGCCCACAGCTTCGACCGAAGCATCAAATCTCCCCACGAAGGGTTGTGGATACTTTGCTCCAAGTTCTCCATGATGGAGCTGCGGCGGACGACGTGGTACCGTCTGCTGACGTACTTGAGGGCGACTTCTACGAGAAACCGAGACCTGGAGGGCGTGGGCCATGGGATGTCAGACTTGACGAGCGTCATCAGTTCCTTGTCTGGGGCGTAGTTGAGTCTGAGAATGTGCTTTGGCTGGGGCTCTTCGGGGTCGGAAATGACCTGGCGGAAGCGGGTGGTGAAGGCCGCGTCCGCCACCTCGCTGATGAGGATTGGGGTGCGGAAGACGTTGGCGTTCATGAACCATGGTCTCACTTCTAGTGTGGCGGCTTCTGAGGGCTCCTCATTGTCGCTGCCTCCCCGCCCTGAAGACGGCGTAGTCACCTTGTTGCCGATGTAGCTGCTGGTGTTGGTCTGGGTGGTTATCTGACTGACGTCGTCCCTGATAGAACTAGGCGCGCTCTGGGCATTCTGACTCTTGAGCCGACGGATTTCGTCCAAGATGCCGTCAATGTAGCTTTTCACGCCGTCAGAAGATCAACACACATAAGATTGAGTTTCGGGGGTGGCGCTCCTGACGAAAGCCTTCCGTTACCTTTGCCTGACCTTGACTTGCCTATTGCGTCGCGGGTAGGTACACTCGGGGCCTTTGCCAGCGTGCCGACAGTTTTGGCACGGGTGCTCCCCTGAGCACTTGACCTTTCGGGAGTGACACCGACGACATCTTGAAGATAAGGCATGTCAGTGGTGTGTATCTTGTGTGTGTGTTTGACAGGCTTGGCAAGGGGGCAGCTCACGCAGTCGACTTTACGGGTGGCAGGGGCCCGTCTGCCAGGGGGCTCCTGCTGCCAACATCCGTGCTGGGCGGGGTCCTGTTGCATGCTGCCATGGGGAATTAGAGATGGACATTCGACAGAATGCCGAGAGAGGGGGAGAGTTAACAAAAAAGGTGGTGGATTTTCTTCACCGCATCTCACAATGCGCCGCCGTTTGGTGTTGTTGAACTTCAACAGAGTTGGTTTCGCGTCTCGATGCGTCAGAGGAAGAGAGAGAGAGAGAGCGAGACTGAGACTGGCACTAACAACCACTGCAGCGACGTCGGCGAAATGACAAGTCGCCGATGTGGCGGACCGGCAAGATTGGGTTGGTCATAAATTCATGGGCCCAAAGAGGAAAACGGGCCTCCTCCCCGGGCTTTCGGCAGCGGCCCGAGCTTGTCTCTCCGGTTTCGTCGGCTACCTGGTGCCTTTGCCGAGCTGAGTCATGAGCCCGTCGCCGACGTTGGGTCCCTGCACGGAATGCCGATCCGGCGCCGTTGAATGTTGAACGGGAGTCGTTACACGGCATGCCGGTAGTATAGGAGTACCAAAAGTAAGCGCTTATATTATTCTTTTTACTTTTCCCCCTGGAAACCCCACACCATCATTGTAGACAATCACCCATAATTACGGATTATACAACTGACAAAAACCATTCATCACTTTCCTCCACATTCCGGCATCACCACGGGAATGAGTTCAGAGGTCGAGAAAGCCTGAAGATTCTGGGCTGAGACTTGATGACACTATCTCAAGGTCAGCTCTCGGGAACTATGCCAGTATCATGTTGTCTCTTCCAATTCCATATCCAATCTAGTAGGGACCATTGTGCGATGTTAAATTTGGTAAGCGACTGCTTGTTGAACTCCACAAGCTGGTTCTCGTCCGAAAACTTTCCAGTGTCAAAGTCGCATCGAATGATAAAGCTCCCGTTAGCAATATCATGTATTGCCTGCGAGTAGTTCCCAGGGAGACACCATGGATCATCGTTTTCCAAACAAAGGCGTCTTCTGTGCTCCCAAGACGGGGGCGGAAGGAGTCCCTGCCGCGACTGTTCATGCATAGCCATTTGCCATGCCGCGTCACGCATAATGACTGTCTGGAAGGCCTTTGCGCATGACGGACCACCGGTGAGAACCAATGCGAAGCTCCCGGGCGGCATTCCAGCAGACTCAAGTACGAGAGCCTCACAGATCCAGATCGCCAAGTGATAAGACATGCGATGTGGCCCAGATCCATCTGTGAAAGGCCAAATCACTCCCCACAAGTCGACGCGCCGCTCAATGCGGAGACGCGAAGCAATTCTCATATTATTTTAGTGGCGTAATACCTTTCGGTCTCTTACAGATTGGTTAACAGATGGCCAACGTCAAAACTCGATTAGCCAACAGTCGTGCCTTCAAAATGTTGATAATATTCGGAATAACTCTAGATGCATGAGCTATAAGAAGCACTGTGCTGCACCCGAAAAACAACAACACACAGGTCTCCATGGGAGTCTCAACGGCTGACGTCGCTTCCAGCACGATATTCAGAGCTTGATAACCAAGCTTTTAACGGGGGCAAGCAAGACCTGTCCTTCAGCAAGACCTAATTGGGAGACCGAGCTCAGAGACCCAACTCGGAGTTTACATGAGCTACATAGAATCCCACTTTGCGTGTTCCGATACCTGCATTTACAATATGTACATCAATCCACCCTGTTGGCCCTTCGTCTTATACCTCAGCGAGAGTTGTCGCACCAATGGCCTGTCCCGACGTCGGAATCAAAAAGTTGCTCCCTTTCACCTTCTTATCCGAACCCCTCGCCCCCTTCAACACAGACGCATCCACACTGACGAAGGAGCTGTTGGACCACGACCCCGAGTTCCACGAGTTCCCCGTCGCAGTCACCGTGCTCACAAGACTGACCTGCGCGCTGCCAACATTAACCGCAGCAATGTTCCCCGTCATCTTCGACGACGAACTACGCATCACAAAGCCCGTGTCTCCGTTATTCCACGCCGTGTTCCGCTCAAACGTCAACGCGCCGGGGTTGCCGTTATCGATGAACCCCTTCTTGAAGTTGCCGAACGCGATCGAGTTGCGCACGACGTGGTTCGCGGGCGGGTTGTCCGTGATGCCGAGCTTGAACCCGTTGCCGTCGCCCTCGAAGGGGCTGAAGCCCCAGCGGTTGTACCCGTTGCCCCAGCTGTAGACCTCCTCGAGCGTGACGGGCGACGCGAACATGAAGAGGTCCAGCCCGTCGTCGACGTTGTCCCACAGCCGCGCGTTGCGCAGCACGTTGCCCTCGCCGGAGCCCGACTTGCACGCGAAGCCGTCGGCGCTCTCGCCGTTCTTGCGCGGGTCGCGATTGCGGTATGAGTCGAGGTTGAGGACCGTGTTGTTGGACGAGGCGCCCTCGAGCTGGAAGCCCGTCTCGTAGTTGTCGTGCGTCGAGAGGCCGTTGTAGTAGTTGTGCGAGGCGTCGCGGGCGTAGATGCCGTAAGGGCCGTTAATCATCCTATAGTGGTGGTTAGAAGGGTCTGTGATGGATGAGAGGGGCGGGTGTTAGTGTTTACTCTAAATCGTAGAAGGCCCAGTAGTTGGCGTTCTGGATGTGAAAGATGCCTCGCTCCGAGTTGGGCAACGATTCGTCCAGGGCCTTGGGCGTGCTGCGTGATGAGCGTGTCAGTGTCTCGATTGTTTTCTTGGCCACTTATACGCATAAAGAGACTCACCCAGGCATATTCTCGCCGTCAATGATAACTTTCTCGCTCTGGTACGGGCGGACGGAGATGGGAGACGTGACGGTTCCGCTCTTGGAGAATTGGATGTTCGCAGAAGGCGCATAGGTGCCCTGGCGGAGGTAAATGGTGTCGCCGGCCACGGCGGCGCTGACGGCCGATTGGATGGATCCATACGGCGCCGTCTGAGTGCCGGTGCCGGTGCCGGTTGGGGACACAAATATGTCGCGGGCGGCGGCCCCGCTTAGAATGGCCAGGAAAGCAACCGGAAGACCCATTGTCGGTGCCATTGTCAAAATTATGGTATTGATGCTGCCGATCTCCGAGTAGCGACGGCTTCACCTACCCGGTTCGCCTTGGGTGTAACCAGACATTTTATAGTTTATTGCTATGCCCCAGGAAAGCCCGTTATCGATTTCTCAAATTGGAGGCAGCTCAGCATGCCATCGAGTTCCCACAGGTCTCCATGGCCTGTCGAGTGTTGCCAATTTTCCGGGTTCCTGAAAACCGGTCAAATCAGAAATCCCCCAATCATGTACCCTTGTCCCTGGCAGATCAGGATGACTGCCAACACCACGCAATATGGAGTGGGATGCCGAAGATGGCAGCTCCGGAGAGGACCCTTCCGCAGATAGATGATGACGAGAGTCTTTTATACAACCATGAACGAAGGCTGTTGCTTCCAAAGGAAGACCTTCATTACCCGCTAACTCCTTACATCACAGGCACGGAATCGTGCAAAGTCGTTCCCTGACTGTTCAGCGGTCTATCACGTACTCGTCTTCCTAAACGCCAAAAAATCTTGCCCAGAACCCTGCCAACATCAGTCTACCTCCGTACAAGGATCGCGCAAGAAACTCACCTCTCCTGGGCCTCTGAGCCCTTGGAGCCCTCTGAGTCCTGTCGGCCCTGGGAGCCCTCTCAGCCCTTTGAGCCCTCTGACCCCTTCGAGGCCGCCGGGGCCTGACACCCTCCAGAAACAAGTCCCACGCCTCGATTCTGTTGGCATTAGCCCTCGGATACCGAAAATCACTATCAACCGTCACCCTGTTCCTCAGATTGTTCACGGTCCTGTTCGCCTGCTGCCAAGTCAGTCCAAACCGCAGGAACCGGTGCCAGTCGCACGCCGTCACGCCACAGCTCCGGCAGTGCCAGAGCTGTCTGCCGTCCCTTATCCTGCAGTAGAAACACGGCGGCTCTTCTCGTGGCTGGAACTCCCACTGAGCATGTGTTTGATGGTTACAACGCCCTTCCTCTCGTTCTATGGCGTACTGTGGCCATACTCTGCCTTCGGTTTCGTCGCCCTCGCGGATCCGGCGCATGTTCTCCGGGCTGTCTCGTCTCCAATTGGGGTCTCCAACCTGTTATCAGAGATGGTTAGCCAGGCTACAGATGCCAAGGAGAGAGCAGCTGACCTCTGTGTTGTTCCCATCGGCGTAGAACATCATGATGTAGTAGCGTTGCTGGCCCCGTGCCTGCCCATTTGCGTTCGCCATGATCGGTTCTGGATCAATGTGGTCTGGTTCCGGACCGTCGCCAACATCAATCAACGGTAGAGCACCCCCGAAATCCGGGTCAAAGTTGGCGGGATGTCCTTCGAAACCGTCCTCAACGACGGGTACAAAAGGAAGCACTGCTCTCAGTCCATCAGCATTCACTGGACGCTTTCTTTTATCCTTCTCGAAACCTTTGACAAGCAAGCGGAAAGGCGTTGACTCACCTTGAGGCATTGGTCGTGGCACAACACGGGCTTGTAATGCTGGAGGTAATGGCGGTTGCTCCGCGATGACTTGCCGTTGAAGCTCAAGCAAATTTGGAGGCTCTGCTGGCGGTGGGAGAGCGTCAGGGATCGCTCCCTGTGGTCGAATGCGTGGGTGGTGATCCATCGCCCCCCGGCCTTGCTGGTATCGAAACACGCGTTGACGCATAGGGACACGACGTTCACGTCCTCCATACTGTGGACAGCCCCGTGGGCACCCGCCCCTCCAGTCCCCTCCGCAGAGGAAACACCATTGATGGCCGCACTCACACCTATTCAACATGTGTGTGTCAGTCAACCAGACCAGTCATTGTGTTTGTGTGGTTTTCTCACGTGATGTGATTGCACCCATCCCACAACTCGACAATCCTCCTGCATGTAGGGCAACTCGCAAGATTGTCTCGGTCCATTATATCCATCAACATCTCGTCTTCCTCCTCCTCCCGGCACGGTCGACCGGGGTGTATGGCGGCTCGGCACATCCGACACGTCCCCTCGCCACAAGCGCGACATCTCATGAGGTCAGCCGTGACATGCGGTCCAGCAGCGGGTATGAATGCCGCACACCCGGGCCGGGAACAGTAAACCCGCTGATCTCCAGGCGTCTCCTGTTCCTCCCTGACCTGCCTATACAGCCTCAGCAAGCCAGGTCTCCTAACCCACCTGATTGCATCGTTCTGCAACGGCTCGCAGCACTTGGGGGGCCACCCGCCCTGCCTCAAGCCAGCGCGGATGCAACCCCTGAGACAGGGCGCGCAGAACCAGCATCCGCACGGGAGTTGTAACTTGGGCTCACGGCCGCCGGAGCAAATGATACAGTCCTCCCCGCCTTCTTCGGCTCCGTCGTCAGGCTCGACCGGGCTGTCTGCGAGAATGCGGTTGCGCTCCTGCCAGTCAATGTAGGCGCCGGGGTTGGGGTCTTCTGGCTCAGGCTCTGTAAGCGGCGGGGGTCGACGAGGCACAGGTCGAGCCGGTACTGCTGCTGCTGCTCTTGGTGGGTTTGGGTGTGGATGTCGATGGGCGCTTTGTCGTACTGCGATTTCGATGAGCTCTTCAGGCGCCGCCATCTGTAGCGCCAGTGCCGCTGCATTCTCGACCTCCTCGGCAGTGGCGAATGGTAAATCCTCAACATCAAGGAAGCCAAAGCGGAGGATGAGGTTCGACACATGTTCGTCTAAAAGTTGGAATTGCTCCATGTAGAACGATATCCAGAATCAGCTTGTGTGACTTTTTCTCAGAGGGCTTCCTGGTGATTTTGCAAACCGACGTTGACCTATTGACATTTATATTTTTCGGCGTGCGACGCAGTATTTCACCAACGCTGACCTATCGTGAATGATTAGGGCAAGTGCAACGGTGCTGATTCGCGACCTGGAAGTTGTATCTGGTTTGGTCCGCAGCTCGTCATCTGAAGCCAGCAACCAACATCCCATCAGAGAGTCACATAATGTTGACTCAAGCCCGACGGTATGGCCTTCACTGGAAACGATGCGAGCGGGCTGATGACATTCACCTCACCTCCGTTAGCCATCCACTTCGACGCGATCCATTATGCATGCTACAAAAGGATAGGCACTTACATTGATCGAAGAGAGATCATGGTGCCGGAATGATACGTGTTAACCAACGAAAACTTGGCACTTTTGGTTCGGGTTGATGAGTGTCACAGCGGCCGAAAAGTTCAGAAGTGATTTTGAGTCAAATTGATAGACGAGAACGAAGCTACTGCAACCCTCATCTCTGAGTGGCTGATGAATATCAGCCTTCTTCCGCCGTTTTGTCACATTAGTGTGTCGAGCCCGCAGAAGTGGGTTTAGTATATCATCGGCCCCAAAGCGCCATTCAAGTTACGTCCATCATCGTTTGTGATGGGATATTCTCGTCAACATTGACCATTAGTCCTTCATCCTTGCCCAAACGACCGCTGTGTAGTGGCATTTCCATTCCCGCCAGATAAACACCAAGAACCAACCCCCCCGTCAGTGACTGTAGCCAGTAAACCCGTAAAACTCCTTGACATCGTAACTCCGACGCTGCTATCCGGGATATGATTTGGAAAAAAAACAAGCTAAAAAAAGAGCGGTACTAGTAACAGTAGATATAATAGATTGGGTATAAAAGATCAATAACTGAAGTCAACATTGCCCATCTGCGACAACATTTTTGCTTCTGCTGATGTTGAGTTCCCGGTAGCGCCAGTATTTGTTGACGTCGCCGAATTCGAGTTCGTTTGCGTCGTCTGGGTTGATGAATTGGTTTGTGTTTGTTGCAGCTCGTGTTCTGGCGGGGGCTGAGCGCTGGGTGACCATCCTTCGTCCAGCATTTGTTGGAAGCTCCAGCTTGGCTCGAACCGGGTACTGTTCCAGGCATAGTCGACACGCTCATACATTTCGTCGATTTGTTCCAGACTAATCTTACTGGTCTCGAATACCATGCACCAGACAAACAAAACTGCCAGAATGCAAAAGGCACCCCAGAGGAAGAAGATCTTGGGTCCAATGTCTGCGTATCCAGGTCCTGACCCGACCATAAAAGGGGTTCCGTAGGCGATACCGAAGTTCAGAAGCCAGTTTGACGCAGTCGAGATCGAGTTGGCCTTCGCACGGACCTTGAGAGGGTAGATTTCAGACGTGATGACCCAGGCTACGGGCCCCCAAGATGCTGCGAAGAAGAAGATGTAAATGGCACAGAAGACGATGAGAATTGTCTGGGCAGCCTGCTGAAGGTTATCGCCAGCGGCCGTACTGAATGACGCAATCATGAGCTGACAGACGGCCATGCCGATAGCGCCAACCATGAGAAGCTTGCGTCGACCCCAAGATTCGATGACCAGGAGTCCAGGGATTGTCGATACCACGTTGATGATATTGATGATGAGAGCCTTCAGGTACGGATTCTCCAGCTTGACGCCGTCGAAGAAGCTGGTGCTGTAGTACATGATGAAGTTGATACCCGTAAGTTGCTGCAGCATCTGCAGGCAGCATCCGGTGAGAGTCCGTCGGCCGAGATGAGGTGATCCATAGAATATTTCCTTGTAAGAGTCAGGGCCTAGCGTGAGCTCATACTCGTGGTTGGCTACAATTTCCTGCAGCTCCTCGAGCAAAGCAGGGTGAGTAATATCGAGACGTCGGAGGCGGCTGAGTGACAGGCCCGCAGCCTCGGGCTTGCCTTTCTTGACTAGGAAGCGAGGAGTTTCGGGGAGGATAAGAAGACCGAGGGCTTGAACAACGGCCCATACGAGTTGAAGACCGAGGGGGATTCGGTATGCGGCGGCAGAATCGAGTCGTTCGGTTAAGATGTTGACAAAGGATGCAGACAATAGGCCTATTGTGATGGACAGTTGGTAGGCGCAAACAAGGGTTCCTCGAATCCATTTCGGCGCCATTTCCGATTGATAGACGGGTACGAGCACTGAAATGGATCCAACTCCGACTCCAGCAAAAAACCTGCCATGTTTCATCAGCAACGCGCTCGTCGCAATTCAACCACCCAACACAGCCGATGACCTACCGTCCAACCAAGAGCATGTCAATGTTGTGGGCGCAGACTTGGAAAATGCCGCCGAAGCTGAAAACACCGATGGACAGAATCAGAGATATACGGCGGCCCCAGGCATCGCCGATGGGAGCGGCAAGAAGCGCGCCGAGAACGGTACCAGCACTGAGGATCGCAACGATGATGGAAGACTCGGAAGGGGAGATGCCGGGTTTTCGGTCGTTGTCGATGTAGCCTGTCGAAAAGTCTCGCTTGAAAGCCGTCATGGAGAGGATACCGTTAATCGTACTATTTTCCACCAAAATCAGCCTCAAGTTTCCCACAACCCAGTAAAGCAACACGCGTGGGCAGAAGTGTCTCGTGTGGTCGCGGTGGGCGGTTGTTGGGTGCTTACCCAGTGTCGTAGCCAAAGAGCAAACCTCCAGAGGCGACGAAGAGACCGACCATAATGGCCGGGGCCGACGAGCCGGCGACATTGTCGGGCTTCTGCCAGCCCATGGCTATCGCCATGGTGATGGGTGTTTGGCGACGTCAATCCAGAATGGAAGCGTGTGCTATGAGAGTTCGAATCTCTCGGGAGTTGTCGTCGAGGAGCGAGGTCGAAATGGGCCGGCGACCATTTGACTTGCGGGCAGTCGTGGCGGGCGAGCGAGGAGTGGTGAATCGAGTGTGGGTAAGGATGGATTGATGGGATGGGACAGGCAGGTTAGATGGGTGTGGAGAAGAAGCAGGGAGAGACTGGAGGGCCTGGAAGAAAGTCGGGCGGTCGGGACCCGTTCGCGTAGTGACAGTAAGTAGTAGGCCGGAAGCAAGCAGCGCAGCGCAGATGCAAAGGCAGAAGACAGAGGCAAAGGCAAGCGAGTCGGACGGAAGAAGAGGAGGAGCCAGTGCCAAAAGGCAGAAACGCAGGCAAAGGGCACTGAGTACGGCGTAGGAAGGGCTGGCTGTGGGTGGTGAGGGACGTGGAGGGAATGGAGGAAGAAGAAGGCGACCGGGGGATGTGATGGTGGTGTTGGCGGGGGATGATGGCCACTCAGAGGGACGAACACAGTAAAGAAAATATGGGTCCTGAGGCCAGAAGTGAAGCAGCGCGCCCCAGGAAGCCAAAAAAGCGCAAGCGCACTCGACAGGGCACCTCCCCTACTGCGGTAGTGCAGGCGCAGCGCAGGTGTGGGCGGCCAGCAGCGTAGCACCAAAGCGATACTGTAGAGGGAATGGGGAACAGACGGACAGGACAAGAGGGAGAAAGACTGGACTGGGCACGGGCAAGGGACGCGGATCAGCACGGTTTTTTTGAGGGCCCTCTCCCCTCTGCTGTACCTTAGGTTCCTAGGTTCACAGTGTTGATGTGAGGTCTGCTGGGATTGCCCTCCTCCTCCTCCTCCCCCTCCAGGCTCACAGGCTCGCTCTGGCTGCACTTTTCTTACTGGGCTCCCAGAACGTGGCTGCGGCTGTGATTGGCTTGTTGCCGTCTTGGGAGGTGCTGAGAGGTGCACCCGGCCGTGCTCAACTTGCAGGCGGCCACCCCCTTTCGCTAGACTAGTCTCCATCAGGATAAGCCTCGTCCTTGGGTCGTTCCCCTTGGCGCAAAAAGGCGGGAAGGAATGTGGAATGCGGACGACGAGCCTTTTTGTACTGCTTTGTCACTGCTAGCGAGGTCTTCTACTCGACTGGAAGAGGCGCTGCCGCTGCCGCCGCGTCCTCGGTACACCAAAAACACTGCAGACTTGCAGCATGGACGCCTCCTCCACTGATCATAACCCAAAGCTCTTGGCTGGCACACGACCTGACTGCTTGCTTGCTACTGCTTACTGCTGCTGCTGCTGCTGATCGTCTTTCAAGTGCACCTCTTCTTTTGCGGGGATGCCGGCTCTTGAACGCGCCTTAGGGAACCTACGGAGAGGAGCGGAAGGATTCAACATCGGCCTCTGGCATTCCACCCGCCTGCATGCGGACCAAGGCACCGCGGACACTAATACCGGCCTGCCTACCTATTACCTCGCGGTTCCTGGTCAGACAAGTTAGACTTCCGTCTAGAAAGCAAGGAAGGTGCAGTCCAATGGAAGCTTTGGTGGAATGTCTGATCACCGTCTCTTGTCCTCGGCTTGACGAACAGACACTTGGACTTGGGCACACTTCATTTGCTACCGCGAACCTACCTACCTAAGGAGGTACGAAAGGTAAGGTACCTCATGGTGCAGCACAGGGGGGTCTCATTGTCCCGTCCCGATCTGATGGGCCAAAGAACAGAGGACGTCCCGAGCGAGAGGAACGCTTCAAAGTCTACTTGGGGCGATGCGATGGCAATGTACGGACGGCAGGTAAGGCACGGTACAGAACGGCTGAAGCTGAGGTACGTTGCGGTACCTGTCTCAGGCCGACCTGCCTCGTGCTTGGAATCGGGCACTCGGCGTCTTGCATCGACTTCTACCGCCCAGCTCTGTCAAAGGAAAACAAAGGCGACGATTTATTTGCATTAGGCTATTCGCACCGCTGGCTGTGGGGTCGACACTAACACCCATCCACCTAGCAGCACTCTCGCCTGTGCAGCAAGAACTTCTAATCCAGGCAGCACCTAAGCTGGAAATACCTGGCAAGACATTTCCACATACATCTGGTGAGTAGCCCACCGCATTAGAGTTGTCGATAGCCTTCTGAAAGCTCGACTTCCAGCTGCTGCTCTGTTTTGCGAGCAACTTCATATTGCATACCTACCTACTCGAGTTCCTGAGGTACCTTGGGTGCTCACGGCACACCGCGCGGTTGCAATGCATCCAGCCGACCTTACCTTAGCTCAGCCCTCCTGCATGTCGCAAATTGGCTCCAGTGACTGCAGCCGGCCCAGCCAGCTATTCCATTCTTACTCTGGATTATGACTTTTTTGCCAGTTGAAAGGCAGAATAAGAAAGCAAGCGACAATCGACAACCCCGGTTGGCTACCCTGCGTCGACCACGTCGACCCGTGACTAATGACAACGAAGCCTTCCATTCTCAAATCCTTCCGCGCGGCTGTCACTTTTACAAGCAGTCAGTCTCTGCCACCTGGGCCTTTGCGTCTGACACGACGGCTCGTCTTGGGAGAGCGATGCCGTGTCTCGTGTGTGTCCGTCATACAGACGTGCTGCTGTATCATGGGCATTCCCAGGTAGACAGACGCCCGAAACCTCAACCAATAAATGAACATGACGACAACAACACGACAGACAGACGGCTCTGGTTTCTCAGGAGGCGGTGCCCAGACCACTGGTCGCACCTTTCAAAAAGCCACCGGATGGGAAACGTGATCCCTCAAGCCCTTGTTCGGGTTCTCAACCTTACAGATACCTGGCGGCGCATCATGAAATGTTTGTCTGGCTCTGTACGGATAGTGGTCAGTGGTCGCCGTTGAAGTTGGCGCACAGTGTCAGCTTCTCACCAGCTGGGGTGGAGCCACGTACCCACCTTGGTACTGCAAACCTACTGGCTGGCGTTTGGAGAAGGTGCAGGTGGCACACTCGTCACTGTGTGCAGTTGCCGATTCCCGATCATGCCACCCGCTCGAGTCAGCGGCATTCCTGACAAAGCACAGTGTTTTCTGGGGCTCCCCCACAGTGATCCGTCAAAAGCCGGCAGCAGGGGCGCTGGATTGGAAGAAATTTGGTCGACCCCACCACACAAATTGCGGGGAGACTCCGCTAGGCTTGCCAGCGGAAGGCACGTACTGCAACGTCAACACCAAAAAAAGTCACCCCAGGTACCTACCTACTCAGCGGTGTTGGCGGCGCTGAAGTATGAGCTTGCTTCTAGCTGCACAGACAAGCTCAACTGCACAACAACGAACTCGTTCGTCGTCACTCTCAGATGGAAGTTACTCCCGTCAATCTGCGATTGCTTGTCGCAGCCGGACGTCAGGTAGGAGACAAGCATTTGCGGGCTCCAGTCTTTAGACTCTGTCCATCCACAGGCAAGCGCTTTCTCACTCCTACTCACACACTCGCATCACAGTCACCACCAACAACCATCAACCTCACCCCATGATCATGCCGGCGCGCGGCACAGCTTTCCCAGTCCGCCGCCTCTTTCCTTACCCTGCCGGTATTCACAAGCCGTCCACGCAACTAACGAGTCAACGCAAGCATGGCGGGCGTCGCATTTGACATCTCCACAACGCCCACAAGACAGACGACTTGGTTTCCTGCAGCAGGCAAGCGGCCGTTGTCTCAAGCCATCAGCCAGGCTTACGGATCCCCGGAACAGCCGTAGAATCCTATTCCGCATATCAGCATGTCTTGGTTAACGGGCGGCAAAGGGCTGCCGAACGACGCTCTTGCCAAATTCTCGCTCGGAGCTCCGTGAGCCCGCGAATACGGCATCGATACCTAAATGACTGCAAACCGCCACAGCTGCCAACCCAGCTTGGCTTTCGCCCGAAGAGATAAGCCAGCATCAGCCCCAACGCCTGGACGGCTGACGAAGCAATCAAAATCAACCTCTACACAAGAATTGAAACACGCACTGAGACTTGGGGATAGAAGGATGCGTCTTGCCCTAGTTGTCTCATCTGCACTAGCTTGCTCGCAAGCCACAAGCACTGTTCCGGCGAGCTTACACGCAGCCGCGTATGAGGAGAGGACGGCCACGTCTAGGCAGCGGAACGGTTATGCTTCCAGGACTCGCTCAGCCCCTGCCCAGTAATGCCGCCTTACAAAACTCGCCGTCCGAGCTGCTTTCTCGAGCGCACCAAACATTTGCACGGCCTTCATCGAAGCCCATCTTGTTCTGGAAGTGATCTAATATGCATGCTATCCACCTTTCCCCGGTCAAAGTCACACAGTATTCTTCTTGACAGCCTCCGGGGCAATGTCGACCATTCCACAATTTGGACAGGAAACTACACTGCGGAGGAGCAAGAAATTGCAGCCGAGACCTCTAAAGCGTGCAGAGTTTCTGCTTCTAACTGGTCATTTGGTGCTTCTCGCCCCTCCGGACTGTCGACTGAGCTACAGAAACTGGGCTGACGGCCAACGACTTCATTAATCTCACTCTAATTGGCCGGTCTGCTTCTGCTGCGTCCAAAATTCCACCGCCCTACGAGGCGCTTATGAGGCACAGGGAGAGCGGCTTGTCTCGTGTTATGAGGTCTAGAATTGGGACACTGGCCAGATTGACCAGCGTCGAACCAAACTGCTTGTGGTTAATTCTCGAACCACAACTCTTTTGCACAGACTCCAATCTGCCAGCCTATGCTTTGGAAGAAAAGATGAGACACGACCTTGGCAAGACCAAACTTCCACAACGAAAGCCATCGACATTTTCATTCTTGTCGAGGCCCCAGAACGAATGGCACGAACCGACCACAGTTGCCTGTCAATCTGACAAGTCAAACATGACGGGGCCAATGTCCACCTAGTCGAGAGATTGATATTCTAGTAGAACGTATGCCCACGCACTTGGAAAACCTGGCTAGCGACTGAGTGAATCTTCCCGTCTCAGCCGAGCGTTTGGCCTCACCGGCTGTCAGCACGAATGCAAAGGGCGCTAGCAATCATCCACCCAGAGCTCGTATAGTCGAAGTCGAGGCTGAAGAGACGCGGAAACCTATGCTCTCGCCGGAGGAGGTCTCCACAGGACGTCCGCGGCAACTGGCTGCGTCTTGTAAGCACCGAATTACATGGTCTCCATGTCTCGGACAGCAGACGACGACTTCTGCAGTGGTACAACCAATACTCATGGTGTTGGTCACGACATGCCATACATGCTAGCTGAGACCAGAGCCAGCAGGATCGGTAGGGTATCTACAGTCGGATATAATCCTCGAACCCATCCAACCATTTCCATGTTACACTCTGGTCAGCAATGATTCAACAATGCGGCGGTAGCGGCACGAATGGCAGGTAGATCGCACACGCACTGGGTATGTGTGGGTTTGTAGCGACGAACTGATCCACGGATCGACATGCAGCGATCGACGAGGACCCCCCAACGTGGGCACCACGCAAACGCAGACCAGACGCGGCCGCGGTGGCCTCGGGGGGCTCACACGGAAACAGTCCCTGCATTTCGAATCAGACTGCAGAGCGTGAGCACTCGCATTTACCGCTCTTTTGCCGACGCTGGTCTGGCACTTTTTGGACCTGCCAGCTGCGGATGCGCGGCTCGCAAGCGGTGCGAATTGCCGCTCGACTTGCGGCAACTATCTACTTAGCTCGCGGGGTGAGAAGTTTATTGACGACATTGATATTTGAAATATGTCTTAGCGCGCTGTCGTATACAGATGTCAATCAGACAAGCATCCAAAAACCCGAAATGGGTGCTGCATTGTGACGGTTGCTGGGAGGCTAGCTCGAACTAAGACTCAACTAATTCCACAAAACTCGCCACAGTTTTTGAGTATCAGGAAGTCGAAGGCCCCGTGATGGTCGTTCTCGAATGCTTGTTCAACCTGCGGCGCCTGAGAGCTGAAATGGTTCTGTTAAGGATGATCACGATCACACACGGCGTAGCCAGCAACGGACTCAACAGTCCAACTACGAACGGGATGGGCGACTCGCATGTGTTTGATCGGTTATCAAAACCGCGTGGCACGATACTTGCTGCAGAAGCTGCGCGGGATAGTCTTGGGAATACGATGCAATGTTTTTTTTTTTTTTTTTCCTGTGGCAAACAAACCCCAAAACGTCCTGCGGCAGGTAACTATGATTGACGAAACGGGAGGAATAATGGGTTTTTCGACGAGCATACACGCGGTCGCTACTGTGTTCCCACGATGATCTGCAGACACGGACAGAAGCACCCCGTCTGGTGTTGCGCACAGAAAAGGGAGAAGATGAAGGTGTGACCTCGAAACCTCTGCCGCTGGGCAGCGTAACACGGCTGTCGTGGTCCCGTCCCATTCGTCCCCTCCCCTTGACCATGAGAAACTGAAATAGAAACGACCATGTCGGGCCCCTACTTTTGTGTAATTCTTCTCGTTTTCCCCGAGGACGCTGTGGAAGTGATCTGTTTGATGAGCTATCCTTGGGTCACAATGCTGCTACGATCCGGAGGGTATCGTCGCGGATACCAGATACCGAAACGAGTGAACGTATGTCACAGAAGATGGAGATTTGACATGATTGCAATTTCATCAGGGGGCTACACGATGCCAGCTTTGTATCCGACGTGTTCGACCGAGCGCCAGGTTGCAAAGTCTATCATCCTTTGCAGAGTGAGTAGCTGCAGTTTTGCAACAATATGTTGCGGCCCTCATCAACACCATCAAGTGCCCTTACACGGAAATGCCTGCTTTGCTGCCTCTGCAATGGTCAGGGTTAAAGAGATACATGGCAACCTGACATCGACGATGGCACAGGCGAATTGTGGTAGTCGAACAAAGGGACGGTCTTGCTCATCATTGTGATTTCTTTTTTTTCATACAAAAACCTAGGTTTCCATTCCCAGGACATTCCCAAAACGCCGGCGCTGAATATGCTTCTTTCCTCTGCTGAGCCTTCACACATCTCGCTTTACGGTCCTCCTCGAACCTCTCTATCTCGCTTGTCTTGCTGCGCGTCATTGTGTGCTTTCGTATCATACATGTCAGCTCAGTGACCAATGCCTCCCGCGACCCAGTTGTTCCATTCCGGGTTTCCCGGCTGCGGAAAGAGGCCTTGATCCTGTTGTGCTGCCGGAGCGGGCGCGGGTGCCGGTTGGCCCTGCTGGTTCTGCTGTTCTTGACGTCGTCTGGCTTCCTCTTCCCGTCGGTGTTGCTGCTGACGCTGTTGGCGATAGTACAGCAGCAGGACAAGCGACAGTGCTAGAAACACGATGATGAGGCTCTCCGCGATACCGTCGTCTTCAAGAGGGCTACCTTCGGGGCCTCCTCCGATCGTATCGTCAAAAATGTCCTCATAATATGGGTCATCGTAGAACTGGTCGTCTTGGAGAAAGTTGGCAATCCACTCGCCAAGGGACCAATCCTTCTTTGGTTCTGCATTGACGTTAGTTTGCTTGAAAAGCATGAGAGTGAGCAATGGAAGGCTTCTTACTGGGATCATCTTGGATAGAGTGAATAGGCCCGTGAGTGAAGGTGTTCCACGCGCTCCTGATGCGCAGTTTGAGCAGACTCAGGGTGACTGGGAGATACGCCTCCTCGTTTACCTCGAGGGCTTGATCGTAGTATCTCTTGGCCAGGTGGAAGTCCTGTGTCAAGCCAATGCCGTTCTCGTGCATCCAGCCCAGGTTCCAGAGGGCCTGCGCGCTCTGGGAGTAGTCCGAAGCACCAGTGTAGCACTGAACAGCCTTGTTGACGTCGTGCTCGGCACCGATGCCGTAAAAGTAGTAGTCTCCCATCTTTACTTGGGAGTCCACATTGGCCTGTCGTGAGGATCTAGTCCAGTACATCAGGGCAAGCGTGGGGTTGTTCAACAACTCTGGGCGATTGTTGTTGACGCCAAGCCCCTTGGGTAGTGGCAAATTTTCGGACAGCTGCAAGCTCGACTTGAGCGGGTCGAGGATGAAGGCGACATTGTTCTGGGCTCTTTCGTAGCCCTGTTCAGCTGCCATGACGTACTCCAAGAACGCAAGCTCAACATCGCCGTAGTAGTAGGCCTGATTTGCTTCTGCCCAGGAGGACACCAAAGGCTCGGCCTTCTCGGCAACATTCTTGTAGTATCCCAAAGCCATGGAGCAAGTCTTGTCTCGGCCGACTCCGTGGTACACCATCTCTGCGAGATAGTAGTGTGCCTCAATCTGACCGTACCTGGCTGCCAACTCGAAATAGTTGTTGGCAATTCGGACGTCTTCCGGTCCGCCCTGGTCAAGGTAAAGTACACCCAACTCAATCTGCGAAGGTGCGTAATCCTGGTCCGCCGCAGCCTTGAAGAGGTCAGTAGCCATAGCAATGTTTTTCGGCGTTCCGTATCCATGCAGGTTCATCAGACCAAGGCCATGCTGCGACTGGGCGTCTCCATGGGAGATGCCACGCTCGAACCATCTCTTCGCTTGGTCGAAGCTCTGATCGACTCCATCGCCTCTCAGGTACATACGGCCGATGAAGCCGGCGGCCTTGCTGGCTGTCTTTTCGATTCCCTGCTTATGGTTTTCGATGATGCGCCCGTCCTTTCTCCAGTATCGTTTAGCGACGGTGAAGAAGTACTTGCGAGCCAGGTCAAGATCTCTGTCGAGCCCTCTCTGGCCATCGTAGTAAATACGCCCCAAGTTGTAAGACGCTTTCGCATCGCCCTTCTGGGACATGAGGTCGAGGTATTCGATAACGTCGTCAATGGCGGCATTGGCGTCTGAGTTAGGGCTGACCTTGATAGCGTTCATGCCGGCGCTCGAGGCACTGGCACCTTCGCCATACACTCCACCAAGTTCGTCTGCAATGCGGTACGACTCAACAACCCAGGCCATGCCGCCCGGAGGACCCGATCTGTACCATACCATGGCTTCGTCGGCAACCTTCTTGTAGTACTTGCTTGCAATCTCACAGTTCTTCGGCGTGGCAACGCCGCTGTGGTGTCGGTAGCCTACAGCCATCTCCGCGCGTGTGTCTCCCTGAATTGCTGCAAAGGTGTAGTAGAGCAGTGCCTTAGCCTGGTCGGGAACCACGACGTTGCCAATTCCTGTTGCGTAGTAGAGGCCAATCATGTACTGGGCTGTGCGGTTTCCGTGGAGCGTGGCGAGGGTCTGGTAGTGGCCGAAAGCAACCTTCAGGTCTCTCGGGTGAGTCCAGTTGCCGTAGAAGTTCATGTCGGCGAGGAGATAAAGCGCATCGGTGTTGTTTTGCAGAGCGGACTGCTCCAGAAGCTTGACAGCCTCCAGAAGCGGCCCGCTGACCTTCGTTTCGCGTGCTTGGTTGCTTCCCGGCACGCCAGCTGCCTCTAGGCTCGGGAAGACCTTCAGTGCGTATTTGAACGTAGTCCATACGAGAGTGTATCGGCGTTCGCGTCTCGGATAGTGTCGTGATGGGAGCTTCTCGAGCTGCTGTATGGCCAAGTCGACCAAGTCGGCCCCTGCTCAGCGTCAGTCATGATCTGTATGATCTCCCCCCACCAACGCGACGGTTCGTACCTGGCTGTCTTGGGGGTGGTGCATCTTGCTCAGGAACTACGTCCGTCTGGATCTTTGCATGTCTCTCCTTTCCGGCTTCGTCGTTCTCGGTATTGATGACCTTTTGTTGCGCATCGGAACAGAACACCGCGGCCGCCTGCAACAGCACTGTAGCGTAATATGTCAGCTCCCACATCTACATCCGGACATTGCGCCAGCAGGGAGCACTTACGGACAAGCCAGAGGAAAGAGCTCTTCATGCTGCGAGTATTATGTGCAAAGGTCGGTCGCAAAGGTGCGCGACATGTTATCCCGCAGCGAATGACCTATAGCAATCGACGGGCGTAAGTTTCGGTTGGCGGTGCTAACAGCAGTGATGGGAACAGCTGTCCTGGCTCTAAGGTCCACGTAGATGAATTGGGAGCTCTGGAAGACCGGGGGTCGCTCGCTCCTCCTGACGTGATTGGACACGCTAGCTTAGTGACAGGTACAAGTACCAAGTGAAGAATAAGGTGTACGTATCGGCATATCGCTCTATGAGGGTTTGGCGCAAGGGTTGCATATGGTGGGGCTTTGCACCAAAGAGCCCCTCAGCTCACTATCAAAATCACCAACTGACAGGTGAGAGAACCTCAGATGAACCGGGCTTGAACTTGTGCTTATCCAATCCTTTCCCTCGCCATACCACGGGTTTTTGAGGTCTAGCATTGGCTTCATTAATTTCCCGTAGAAGACTTCTTCTACTGCTCTGAAGTTGATCAGAAACCTTGTCTGGTGAGTACTCAACTCATTTACTACTTTTTTTTCTCTCCACTGTCCAAGACCCATGCTCACTCAAGTCTAGTCTACACAAGGAACATGTACAATCTCACCTGTGTCGACGGCCACCACTTCGGTGGTGAAGGGGATGTATACGTCCTTGACCTCCATCGCCTTAACACTGGATTAGCTGCCATCTCTTCCGACCAAAAACTTACCCTTTTCAACCCTGCCCGCATAGGCCAGGGGCCCATCACGTCGTTGGCCACCAGCCACGGCAACCTTACGTGCCTAAAGACATACGATGCCCTGGAATCTATCGTCTGCACGGCAGGAGAGAATGGGGAGGTTTCAATCTGGGACCTGAGGCAGAGCTCAAAACCGCAAGTAGCCCACTTTGCAGGTATGTTGACCCGCCGCAGCCGGGGTCATTGATGAACCACGTCGACTTACACGCAGTCGCAGCAACTCAGTCACCCATCACCTCCCTCGCCTGCGACTCAAGAAGCAGCACGATAGCAATCGGAACAGAACTTCAGAACCACACTGCCTCCGTTATGCTCTGGTAAGAACCCTCGGCGAAAGTCCTTCTCAGAGCCCACCCCTTGACTCTTCCGCAGGGATATCAGAGCTGGTCCAACCCGAAGGCTACAATACGATGAAGTCCACAGCGATGACGTGACTGAGCTTCGCTTCCACCCTTCGCAGCCTCACGTCCTCCTGTCTGGTTCGACCGACGGCCTCGTCAACGTCTATGACACGCGCATCTCTGACGAGGACGACGTTGTCATCCAGGCGCTCAACCAAGGCTCCGTTCATCACGCCTCATTCATCAGCGATACAGAGATCTACGTCTTGACGCATGACGAGAAGTTTGCCGTCTACAGCGTCGCTGACGAGTGCCAGACCGGTGCCGCCGTCGCCGATTTCGGCGATGCCAGAGAAACTTTGGGATGCCAGTACATCGCCAACGTCACTACCAAGGTTGATGGAAGCGGTGCTATCGTCGGAGTTGGCGCCTTGGAGTAAGTGTCTTTATTTGCTCGAGAATGGGAGTTCGTAGCTTACACGGTTGCACAGGCGTCAGGTTTTCGAGCTGGTTCACCTTTCACGGACGAACGAGGGAAGCTGGGGTTTCGACAAGGCAAACAGTGTCGGTTTGCCTGGTGGTCATGGCGAAGAGATCGTTCGGTCCTTCTGCTTCTACGACGACGAGCAGGTCGTCTTCACTGCCGGGGAGGACGGCAACATCAAGGCCTGGAGACCCAGCTAGTGGTAGAGTAGAAGAATCGAAGAAAAAGAAAGAAACTCCGTGGGAAAAGAAATGATGTGCTTTTTCATCTGGGTATCATGCTTCCGTTCATCGACCTAGCAAGCGGCCAACCGGAATCAGCCATACTTGTCGTGCTTCCCCTTGACCTTCAACTTCAGAAGTTGCTCATGATAATCACCCTCCCTCCTGGCCCTCTTCAGCTTTCTGACTTCGTCGTCCTCGAGCCTGCGCCCGACAGCTTCTTCCAGTTCCTTACGACTGATCTTTTCCTTTGCCTTTTCCTCCTTGCTCGCCTTGATGCGCGGCTTGAACCTCGCCTGCATCCTGATGCGCCATGTGGTGTTGAAGGTCGTGGTTTCCTCGTCGCCTCGTACGTCTGATGTCGTAACGTTGGGCTTGGGCGGCTTGACGGACAGGAACGTATCGCGCAACGTCTGAATCTGAAATGTGCCCGGGGTATCGGCCGTAGCGATGATGTTGAACGATTCGAGGGGCGACACGGCCGCCGACGTCGCAGACAACACGCCGTTCTTGTCGCATCCAAGATACCTATATCGTCCGTTAGCTACGCCCGTCGACAGCTTCGGGGTCGCAAGAGGGCGCTTACTGTCCATGGTGTCCTTTGAATCTGAACTGCTCCGTTCCCGCAATTCTATTCGCAACCCACACCTGTCGCACGTCGTGAGGCTCCGCGCTCGTAGGGTTCCCGTCGACAATGTTCTCGATACCCAGCGTGAAGACCTTGCCGTTGGCATCGCTCGCCAACGCGGCAGGCGGGTCCGTAGGCAGCACGAACATGATGGGCCCAACGACGTCCGTCACCGCGTCGGCAGAAACCCAGCTGTCGTCGTTATCGGCGCCATCCTCCGGTGCAGCAGCGGAGGCGGCGCCGGCGCTGACGACGTCCCCGGCAGGCGCATCTCGGTCGTGGGCCTCCGCCTCGGTCCGCTTTCTCTTCTTGGGCTTCTTCTCGCCCTTGAAGGATAGGGGCTTGACCATTGCCTAGGCGCCTCGTCCTTTTCGTTTCCGTCGCGTTCTCGTGAATCGATGGAGGTCTCGATAGGGAAGGTGAGTGTGAGATTGTCGCGGTTGTAGCCGGTGTCCGGCGGTTTCCGACCTGGTGTTGGTTGCAACCTTCAAAGATATAAACTGGCGATAGGAGCTTCAGCGCACTGGCGTTAAGGTATAGAAGGTTTGGATTACGTAAGGCCAAACAGCTGCCCCTCCCCCACATCAGATCACACTCCCCAGAAGGTCACAGGGTCCGTTGTAGGTAGATGCAGCCACGATCTGATTACTTTTCTGTGAAATTCATTCGTCGTTGAGAAATTCTTCCAGCTTTGCACCCCAGAGAGTCAAGATGTCTTCAATCGCGCAACCGGTCACTGTATCGCTGAACGATCTCAAGGAGGGTGAGTCGCTTGCTGTTCAGTGTAGCAACCGCAACTTATATGTGATGATCTTGTTCTAGGTAACATCCCCTTTGAGACTTTACAGAAAGCATTCGGCCCCGATTCTTTGGGTATTTTGGTCGTCAAGGATGTGCCGACTGAGTTTGCTCACTTGAGGCATCAAACGTTGTCTTATGCCTCTTACCTTGGCAACTTGCCCGAGCAAGAGTTGGGTACGACAGTGGAACCCCACATCCGCTGTGCACATCGCTTACACTGAAGTAGCCAAAATCGAGAATGTCAAGGCCAAATACCTGACGGGCTGGTCTCTCGGCAAGGAGACTCTCAAGGACGGCCAGGTAGACACCTTCAAGGGCTCGTACTACGCAAACTGCGCATTCTACGTTGACGCCACTCTCAACTGTGCCAAGCCCACGGCGGAGTTCAACGAAGACAACTTCCCCGAGTACCTGTCGCCCAACGTCTGGCCATCCCAGGACGTCCTCCCCGGGTTCAAGCCGAGTCTCGAAAGCCTGTGCAAAGTTATCATCGACACAGCCGTCCTCGTCGCGCGGGCCTGCGACAGGTTCGCCGAGACGGAGATCCAGGGCTATCCGAAGGGATACCTTGAGCATGTCGTCAGCACTTCTACTACCACCAAGGCACGCCTGCTGCACTACTACCCGCAGACTCAGGCAGACCTGGACAAGATTGGTGCCAACGATGATTCCTGGTGCGCCGAGCACCTGGATCACGGCTGTCTCACGGGCTTGACATCCGCCATGTTCATCGACGAGAAGGAGACCTCGCCAGCGGTGCCGGAAGTCAGCAACAGCACGTCAGCCAGCTTGCCCCCGTTGGCAGAGCTGCCAGCGTCGCCCGATCCGACGGCCGGCCTGTACATCCGCTCCCGCAGCGGGGAGACGGTGCAGGTCAAGATCCCGCGTGACGGCATTGCCTTCCAGACGGGCGAAACCCTGGAACGCATTACCGGTGGCAAGTTCAAGGCGGTGCCGCACTTTGTGAGAGGCGTCAAGGCGTCCGTCAGCGATGGTCGCGTTGCGCGCAACACGCTGGCGGTCTTCACTCAGCCTAACCTGGGCGAGGAGGTTGACATGGAGCAGCACATCAACTTTGGCGAGTTTGCCCGCGGCATTGTGGCCAAGAACACGGTGTCATGAGTGTTGTAGTTTGTAATTGTAAACCTGAACAAAATAATGATGAGCAATTTATCACTAGTCGATGGCCGAACGGGTGAAGATGTTAAGATGGAGAGTTGAATTCGCAGCCGAGTTGCCCAAAGGGGTAACATTTTCAGTGGACACAGGCGGGCCGACGGGATAGTGCACCGGTCCCCAGTCGCTGCTATAAGCTAAGCTGGGCGATAACAAGAAGAGACGATATCGATCTACTTGCTTGTAAATCCGTTTACTGTCGTGAAATATTTAGAATTAGCACATTGGCCTGACATCAAGGTCGAGTCCTCCGGGTTATCATAGAAGCACCACAATCTAATCGGTTGTTGTCACCTTGAGAGTTAGAAGAAACATATCTCAGTGTTACTCAATAGCGCTGGGACCACGCTGATTTTTTCCCCTCTTCTTAGACAATGTAAACGGGTGACACTTGTTCGACACTGCGCAAAGCGTGAGGCTCGGCCTCATGCGCTTGGTAGATCATGCGGTAGGTCGTCTTCACCGATGATCCGCTGGTTCATCGAGGACGTCTGCAGCTTGCCGCGTGCGTGGAGAAAAGCTCATCAGTGACGAGACAGTGCGGCTTCAAGCCGGCCTCTGAGCCAACGGCTTTAGGGGCTCGGCGTCAAAAGCTCGGCTCAACGTCTTCTGAGATGATAACTCCTGGTCTCTCTCATGCTATCTGTTAAAGCGACAAGGGCGCTAGTTTAGGAAATAACCATCCGGCAGGCCCGGGGATCGGCGTCGGGCCGTATCTCAAAGTCGGACCTCAAGATGCCCCGACCCATGGCTCCAGACCTCGGGAGCCGTCTATAATTCCAAATTTTTGTTGTGACATTCCGTGATGCCCTTGCACGACCGAGGCAGGCCACCGAGTCTGGCCAATTGCGTGATATGGTCGTCAAAACTGCTCAGTAAGCAGTCTGTCGTGATCGGATTGCATCATGATTCGCAAATTGCCAGAACAAAGCTCCCTCCGCCGTATCACTGCCTGTAGAAGCTACCCCGCCCCCGCCAGCTCCAATTGGGCACTTTATCAGGCGTCATCACCCTCTGATTTGAGAACAGCTTCCCGCTGCTCACAAGCTCCATGAAGCTCCCTTCGCACGTCATATTAAACCTGAGTCGGCGCCCAGCAGCTGTCATAAGAACCCATTCCACCATATCACCACTTACTCGAAGCGCAGCATTAAAAACACACCGTCACTTCACCACATCGTCCCCCAAGATGGCCGTCCCACCAAAGTTCGCCGCCCACAAGCTGGCCTTCTCCCCCGCCAAACCCGCCGCGGAGGGCGTCGCCGCGCAGCCGCACACCATCGAGCTCTACCTCGACTACGTCTGCCCCTTCTCGGCCAAGCAGTTCGCCACCTTCTACGACCAGGTCGTGCCCGCCATCCGCGCGAACCCGGCCTGGGCCTCCAACGTCGAGGTCGTCTTCCGCCAGCAGGTGCAGCCCTGGCACCCCTCGAGCACGCTCGTGCACGAGTCCGCCGTCGCCGTGATCAAGGTCGTCCCGGCCAAGTTCTGGGCCTACAGCGACGCCCTCTTCAAGGCGCAGAAGGACTACTTCGACGTCAACGTCGTCAACGAGCCGCGCAACGAGACGTACAAGCGCCTCGCCAAGCTGGCGGCCTCCGTGGGCGTCGACGAGAAGAAGGTGTACGACCTGCTGGTCATCTCGGACAAGCCCGCGGAAGACGGCTCGCTCAACAGCGGCAACGGCGTGACCAACGACTTCAAGGTGCTCATCAAGCTGGCGCGGTTGACGGGCGTGCACGTCAGCCCGACGGTGCTGTTCGACGGATACCCCAATAACGAGATCAGCTCGAGCTGGACTCTGGACCAGTGGAAGGAGTGGCTGCAGAAGAACATTGTCTGACTTGAAGGTAGACGTGCTTCGCCAAGGGAGCTTCGGCTGTGAGCTATGGATGCCGGTGGTCATTGCTCAAGCTTGTGAAGAAAGAGCCCTATGAGACATCCAACTCGATTGAACCACCAGCAACTTTTAATGAATCACATTACGAAAGAAACATAATCAAATCATCGAAAATTACTGAATTTATTGAATAATGGGTGATTGTGAAACGTAGTCCAGTTCGGACCATGGCAACCGGATAACCAAGTCGCGCGCGTTGCGTTTTCCCATTTTCCCCCAGAAGGAAAAAAAAAAGTCCAATGCAGGGCGCAGTGACCTCATCCAACGTAGCTCACCTCATCCAATCTTCAACCTCATCTCACAACTCCTCCATCCCTACCTTCCTTCACTCAACCCTCCGAGGCATCCTCACCATGTCTCTCCTCAGACTCACTCTCACACGGCCACCCGCGCCGGCGACTCACCTCCTCCCCGCCCTGCGGTCATGTCCGCTCCGCCCGCAGCTCCTCCGAAAATCTCTGCCGCCGCATAGTCTAAGACGGCCCTTCGCCTCCTCCGCGCCGCCGCCCAGAAGCCACCACGGGTCCGGGACCGCCGCGACCACTCCTACCGCTTCAAAACCGGCGACGGCCAGCTCCGGAACTACCGGTGAGTGGTCCAAAGAGCCCGCACACCGCGCACAGAAAGCTAATATGGCGCACTCGTAGCACAACTGCTTCCTGAGAGACTGCTCGTCTACCAGGCCGGCACGGGCAGGATAGGATTCGTGGCCGGTCTCAAGATCACCACCATCTTCGTGGCCGCCGTCTTCGCTCTCGTCTGGGAGCCCGCTATGCTGCGCAGTGACGACGTGTCCGTAGCTCAGATCACCGCGGCATGCAAGTCTCCCCATTCCTTCCCTCCCGCCCATCACATCGGCTTTCTCCCTCGCCGTATCTACTCCCATCTCACGCCCCTACACACCGGCAAACTGCTAGACTCACTCATACAAGAGAACATCCAAACTAACACCTTGGCCAGCCACCTGCGCCCTCATCCCCTTCGCCTACGTAGCCTACTTCTCCGCGCCCTTCGTCACCCACGTCTTCCTCCGCCTGCCCCCCGCCGCCCGCTCCTCCCGCGCCCTCCTCGAGCGCTACGTCCGCGCCCTCCCGGCCACCGCCCAGCTCGAGGTCGGCACGCTGGGCCTCGCCGGCCGCCCGCGCGCCACGCTCGTCAGCGCAGCCGACCTCCGCCCCGTCCCCGCGGACGCCGGCTTCCGCGAGACCCGCGCGCGCCTCGTCACCCACACCCGCGACGTCGCGGACCTCATGGCGCGCAAGAAGTGGTACCACTACCGCCCCGTCAGCCTGTTCGGGCTGCCCGCGAAGGAGGCCGGGAGAGCCAGCAAGTCGTCGGGCTACAGGAACGCCGCCAAGGACGCGTGGGTGTACGACATCATACGCCCGATGTTGGGTCAGCGCAGGTGAGAGTGGAAGCAGAAGCTGCACCACGGGATATCCGGGGGCCCCTCTACGAGGAGAGGGAGGGAGGGAGGAAGAACATGGGGTTACGACAACACCAATGTACTCGCGGCCATGCGTACGCAATTTGCCCACGATGTCTACCCATACTCAGACACAGAGAGGGAGAAACAATATCGTTTCTCAGCTGTATTATTACCAACAACCAAAAACAAACCAGATACCCCCACCCCCAACCACAACCACAACCACGGCTAGTCAGTCGCCCAGTATCCAATATCGCCACGGTCCAATGTTCGTTTCGCGAACGGACGCAGCTGTCAAACCTTTCGGGGGTCTATTCTCGGTACCGAGGCCTTGTGCTCATCCGCTTACGCCTCGCCTCGCCTCTCGATTCAGTACCTTGCCTTAGGAGAACGTTGGTTGTCGCTGGCGGGGCGGCGTGGAACCCATGACTTGTTCACATCTTTCAGCCCTCTTTTTGCCGCTCGTTATCGCTACTGCTGCTGCTGCTGGCTGCCAGCCGGCCCGGCCCCTGCTCGACTGACTTGCGTAACCGCGTGTTAGCGCAGCGCAACCTGACTCCTTCAGCCCCATGCGTCCACAGCCGCCACCCGCGCCTCGCCCACATTACATTGTGTAGTACATATATACTATACGGCGTAGCAGTGAAAGGGGATCTGTTTCCTACGTGGGAGTACCCTTGGTTGTAGTATGGTCGCACTTGCGTCATGGGGATAAGGTAGTAATACGATATACAGCCTGGTAGGATTGCCTCCGGCGGTTGCCGCGTCCCTCCGCCCGAGAAAAACCCCGTCTGATCCCGCAATGTGTCCATCCCATCACACGGACATCGCCCGAAACCAAGACGGCACTCCCGGACCCTCCGCCCCGGCGCGCGGGAAGAGTCGGTACCTAGGGTGGTCCAAGAAAAAGAAAAGAAAAAAAAAACAGTACGTGCGCGCGCGGGGTTGGTTCAGAACTTCAGTCACATCAGAGTGAGTGAGTGAGGGAGGGGGCGTGGTGGTGGTTTGTGCATGTCGTTGGAACTTTCGTCGCTCGAAACATGCGCCTGCGATGAAGCACGTCGGCCACGCCGGGTTTTGAAGTGAAGCGGAGGACGCCGTCACCGTTCCTCCATAGATCCGACGAAATTCCAGAAGGGCTTTTAGCAAAGATGGAAGCTGGCTGCATGGTTATCTTGGCGCAGGAGGATGGCTGCTGGGAAAGGTCCTGCAAGTCGGGTCGCGGTGCTTGCGGCGTTTACGCACACTCTATCGGCGGTATGGGAACCCGGTCTGACGTCGCATCCAGAGCGATGTGTGCCGTGCCACGCACTTACTACGGATGTGCAGTACGCACCCCGACCAAGAGAGAGAGAGAGAGAGAGAGAGAGAGCATTCCAGAGCCCATGCCGCCATGCGCAACCCCAAACTCTAAACTCACAACCGTCACCTGTACACTAAGTAAAGTATCGCAGTACGTAGTCAAGTAGTGCACTAAGTACTGCGTAGAAACGACAGCCCCAATGGCAGTGCTTCTCACCTGGACCCTGGCGTCTCGAAACGTCGAGACAAGACACCCATGCCCAACTTTGATCAGATTCATCCCGATGCGTCCGCCCACCGTCTTCCGATTGAAGCACTTCTCTGGCATGCTTTTCTGTCGCCGCTCATGCTTTCTAATCCCCCCACATCCTTGCCAGCGAAAAGGGTGAAGGAGAGGGGTCTAGAACCGGCCGTTACCAAGGAGCTGCAACAAGCTTCTGGCTGCGTGCCTGCTGCTGCAAGTACATACACACACATACGGCATTACAGCATGCGCAATACGTAGGTAGTTGCCAACAAGTAGGGCCCTTTGCTACCCTAAGGGTCCCATTCGGGTCCCCTCCCTGACGCATCCCACACCTTTCAGTAGAAGGGTGGTTGCTGAGCTTCGGTACCTGGCGTCGGTTCGGGAGCTGCTGCACACGTTAATTGCCGTCACACTCTCTACGCTGCAGTTTGATTTAACAGCTCGTTTATGCCTTTCCGAAAAACCCGACATCCGATTCCCGGCTTCCGCGCCGCAAGCCCCTGCCTGGGTCTGTCTCCGCCCACGGCGCTGCCACGGCGCCTTGCCGACAGGTCGGTCGGCCCATTCTGTCTGTCGTTGGTCGACTTTCGCCTGCGTCTTCGTTCGGCGTCTCCTTGTCAAACCAGTCCTGACAGAGAACACCCGAGAGAAACTCCCCGCCGCCATGGCATGGGGAGGCAAATAAGTTTACAGAACAGTTAGCCTGCCGCCGGCCGACGTATGCATCCCGGCCACCAACGTTCCCCCCAGCCGGAAAATGAAAGTTTGCCTTTTGCGAGACACGACGGGGTCCCGGGGTGACGGAGAGAAGGAGAATCGAAAAAGCCTGTGCGAGAGAGAGTGTGTCTCCGCGCGCGCGCTGAAGTTGAGACCATCTGTAGTTAATGCAAACCCTACCTTGGTCCTAAGATTTGCGGCTGAATAGAACGAACCCTGGAAATCTTGTTGCCAACTTCAGATGCCCTGGCCAATTGACCCCTCTACTTGCCTGACTTTGCGACCGCTTTGGGGACTTCCCGGTTGGAATCTGGTAGTGTTCGATGGTCCCCTTTTCATTGTCATCCCTCTTGAGCTGGCTGCCGTTGGTTTGGCCCCAAACCCCCCATGTAAATGAGCAGAGGCAATCAAATCACCGCATGTTTGCCTGTCCTGACCTGCTTCGCCACCCATCGGGGACCTCGTGGGGGTTGCTTTGTGGTCACGTCGTGTCTTGTCATCTGGTGGGAGAAAAAAAAGAATAATGCGCGCGAAAAAGGTGGTATCATATCCGTATTGACCGGCCCAATCAACGCAAGTATCGAAGCATCCTCATTGCCCCCTTCTTCCCCCATCCCCATCGTACAGGTACTTTTTTTGTGGTCAGGTCTCACGAGGCAGCTGGTAAACAGAACAAAGAGACGCTCCTCTCATTCGTAATGCCCACTGTGTGCGCTGTCCGTACGCCGCCGACCCTGCCTGAGCCGCTTCGTCGGCCCCGTTTTGAGGAAACATGCCAAATAATAATACATTCCTGAATGCAGGCCAGGACACCGCCTGGACCTGACTTTTCCTTCCATGTGCCGTCCGAGAACGCCCACTGAAAACACCCCCCCCCCCCCCCCCCCCCCCCCCTTCTTCAGTTGGAACCATGCTTGTCCAGGGCCAGAATGATGACGCCCACGCGTGCGCTACAAGGACCTCCACGTGCGTTGTATTTTTTTGGGGGCCTCCTCGTGTTCGTCGTAATCGTGTACATATATTCGTCGCGAAAATAAACCGTGAATGTGGTGTGAAGTTATGGACCATGAGAACCGAATGTCGAAAAATATGTACGGGTGAATCGTTCGGGGGCCGAGGGGAAGGCAGCTGATGAGAAGGTTCGCATCGATGTTCCTCCCAAATGTTTCCCAGAAGAAAAAAAAAAGGAATATGCTGTAGAAACCGATAATCGTCGTCGCCGCTTTTATACCAACTTTGAAACTTGATGTAAATACTCTCGCCAGCAAGGACGTCGGAGATCCGTCCCGTGGAGTCAAAATATGTCAAAGCGATTTCAACGCCGTTTCATCATCGGACCACTGTTGCCGTCGTAGTCCCAGGCCCGCTTGAAGCCGCCCTCGTAGACACTCGCCACGGACTCTTGCCACATAGCAGGCGAGATGAAAGACTGGACTGGCGCAGCCGTATACTGCGGCGCCATCTGCTGAGAGGCCACGGGGAGAGTGGCATTAACTGCCTGTATGTCTTGAAGAGACGGGGCTTCGGGTGCACCTGAAGACGGAGAAACACTAAGCGAATTGGACTGGGGAGGCAGCGTCGAAGGCTGTGGTTGGACCTGAGGCGTACCGAAAGACGTGTTCCATTGCCTGGAGAACTGTTAGTGATCACTGCGCAGCTGTCTGACAGGATTGCGTTTCTTTGGCTTACTCAAAAATCTTCGCAGGGTTCCAAGCTGGCGCACTCGCCAGCGGCATGGTCTGAGGCATCCCCGGTGCTTGGGATCCTTGGTTCGCCATCATTACGAGTGACTGTATAGCAGGCGAGTCACTCTTGGTATCCACAGGTCCGGCAGAGATAGGAGGTGTGATGGGGTGGCTGGTATAACTGACTTGGGAGTGTTGAAGGTTTTGCGTGTCCAACTGATGGTCCAGAGAGCCAGTGCGAGCCATACCCGGTCTGTAACCACGAGGAGGGCTAGAATGGTTGGAGGACTGCGGGCTGCCGTAGGGGAAGCTAGGCTTGAGCACGAATTGTTTCCTGGTGTCAGCAGAGAACGCCTCTCTCAACGCGTCGACCTGCTTCTGGAGGTCCTGCATCGGCCACACACTCATGACCTTCTCGAGGACACGCATGTGGCGCGTGAAGTATTCGCGAGCATCAGTGTTCAGATCCGGATCCGGCGAGACGACGGCCACCTATATTCCACCGTGTCAGAGCGTCAACCTACAAGATATTCATCGACAATCACCCACCAGATGGAGAACAATGCAGCACAATCCGCAGTAGACAGTGAAACTGAAACCACGGAGCATGCATTGCAACCCAGAGAATCCAAAGTTGTTCAGTACTGCCTCCTGAAGTCGACACAGGGCCTTGGCAGCTGAATAGCAGATCATCATGTGCTGTTTCCATTGCCCGTCGGTTGAGTTGGGATCAAGGAAGTTCAGCTGCGGTCGGTGGAGCAGGATGAGTGTCAAATAGTAGTACGAATGCAGATTGCCAATGTAAGGCGACGAGAGCCACGGAGGCGATCCATCCGGGGGGAAGGTCACAGATAGGTCCGCCGGGAGATCGCTCATCCAAGACTGCAGAGCTGGGTTGAGCTGCACAAACTCGGGGTCGACACCCCAGTCCTTCGTCTTCTTCTTCTTAAGGCGGCCGTAAGTGCTGTTCATGCGGCTAACGTTGCGGACGACTCGTGCGAAGTACGTGAAGTTCCGGGTGATGTGGTACTCAGATTCGTCGCCGCCGGGAATGGGGCGTGGAACGTTGAAATCGATGGAATCCAGGTCCACGGAGAGGTCGTATCGGCCTGTAGCCTGTTAGCAAAACTATTTTCAGACATTGGAAGCTGAGACAAACCCTGAGGAGATCCGATCATCACTTCACCGACAAAGATGGATTGCCAAATCCGGGTCTTCATCTGGCACTCCGCGGGAGAAGAGCCACAAGGGTGTCCCATTTGATGATCGGTGTAGTGCTCGTCCAGGCCGAGATCCTTGCCCATCTGCACGCATTGAACAATCGTCATCCAGGATCTGTAGTAGTAACCGCGCTTCGGTGCCGCTTCTCTAGCCTTCAAGATGAGCAACAGAGCCTGTAGGGTGCTGAGTCTTGGAACATCCATAAAGGAATCGGCGTGCTTAGACGCCAAAGCCAACCACTGCTGTCCCTCACCGGGATCGTCCGCGAGTCTTCCGCCCATGGCGAAAATGGCCTCAAGAATGAGGGGTGAGATTGACTGCCTGTTGGTGTTCCACTGGTGGTAGAACATGGGCTTGCTCAGAACCGGGACATATGGGTGCACATGGGTAAAGAAGAGCTCGAAGTAGTGCATGGCGGTGTCGTCGTCTGGCATCAGTTCAGGCGGGATGCGAATCTTAAGACCAGGCCCGGATGGCAGAGGAGGGAGAAGCTCCTGATAGTCATCAGGCTCTTCCACCACCGGTTCCTCCTCCCGTCTGAAAGAGGCCTTGTTCCTGAGGTAGGGCGCTGGAAATACTTGTCAGTGTCTGCAATTCACACGCCCTTCAAGAGTTGCCTACCTGTGCCTGCTTCGTTCACCTTCAAGGAGCCCATGAGGTCGGCAAGATCTGCTTGCTGGTAAGATCCATCATTCGAGTAGGTGTCGGGAGGTGAATCCGCGCGCGAGCTCTGTTGCATAGGCGGTGTCGGGAACACGTTCTGGCCGGCGTAGGACTGATCCATCATGCCGACGGAGGGCGACACAGTGGTGTAGTGGATGTTGTGCTGGCTGGATCCGTCGGAGTAAGGCACCTGCGGGAAGACGTTGTGATCTGAATACGCGCCTTGGGCCGCGTACATGGAAGGGTTGGGCTTCTGGCCTCCGGGGATCATCGACTGTTGCTGCATGGGAGCTTGCTGGCGGAAGCTGTCTTGAAGCTGGGAGGATGCAGCGGCAAAGTCGCTTGGCCCAGACTCATAGGCGGTGTCTGAAGTCCCGTCGTACTGGCCATTGGGACGGACGCACTGCAGCTTGAGCCTGATACACGCAGAGCATGGCCAGGTATTCGTGGTGGCAGCATCGCACTTGATCTTTCGTCTCCTGCATCCTTCACAGGCCCTCATGACTACAGTTCATCAGTGTAAGTAGACTACGAGCGGTGAGACCGCGCAAGAATATGAGCGTACCCTTCAATCGCTTATGGCGATTGTGTTCGTCAACGAAAACATAGTCTACAGAGATGGTGTTTGGTTAGACAGACATTCAACGACAGTCTGCGGCCGAGGCGGTGGAGGTAGAGTAAAGGTGGATTGGGTGGATGGATGGATGGATGGCGCACTCTTCTGGGTTTCCCTTTGGGGGTACTGCTGGGGCGCAAAGGAAAAGCTGCCCATCTGGGAGCTCTGAGGCAGGATGCGCCTCACTGAGGGATCGTTGGACATTTCGAAATCGGATCGTGGTGAGTTGAGTCGAAGTTGTTGGGTGCGGTGAGCTAAGAAGGAGGACGTAGCCTCGGGCGAAGTGCGGAGCGGAGACAAAGAAGCGGTTACATCCACGTCCGTCGATGGTGTAAATCAGTTGGAGAGAGCCGACGGTCCCGACCTTTGGAGCGCACTCGGATGCACCCTCTTTCTCAGTTACGTGGAATGGTGATGGAGTTCTCTCTTTCAGCGTCGTCGGGGACGAGACAGAAGCGAACCGTCAAGTCGAGGTTGGGTTGCAGAAAGGAGGAAGATGTTGGGAAAAGAAAGCAGTCCAGAGGGCAGTTGTGTCTCGAATTTCTCTCTGGAGCGCGCTGGCTAGGAAATGTCCGGATTGGTGGGCGATGGTGAGGGGGGTACGCGGGAGAAGGTCAAGCCTTATTATGAATGGACGACAGGTCCCGGCGTGAGGCGTGAAGGGTTGACGTGGGTAGACCTTGACGGGGGTGGGAGAGGGCGACCGGGGTAAGGAACAAGATCTGGGCTAGGTAGATACGGTACAACAGCAGGGTAGGGCAGGGTCATATCACTGCGCTGCTCTGCTGCCGGGGCCTAGAGGAGACCGATGTTCGATGATGGATGCGACCAGGAGTCGATGGGGGTGGGAGCCAGGACCCAGACAAGGGCTGCCTGGGTAGGCAAGGTATGCTGGACAGTGCTGTGCTTTTGGTGGTGAGGACGAGGTAGGAGGAGTAGGTAGCTAGCCTGGAGGGGATGGGAGGGGAGGGGGGTGACTCTGTGTGTGTGTGCGTGTGAGAGAGAGAGAGGGAGGGAGGGGGCCCAGCAGAGGAGAGGAGACGAGACGAGAAGAGAGAGAGGAGAAAGGAGCAAGAGGAGATGATGATGATGATGCTGGAGATGGAGATGGCAGCACGGCCCAGGGTCACAGTAGTCGGGTAGGGCGTCTGAAGTGAGTGAGAAGAAAGATGAGAATGAGAAAGGTAAAGAAGGCAGGTGTAATAGTAAGGCGAGGAGGTAGTTTGAGGTATCCAAGCACGCAGTGAGGGTACGTAAGGCGGGTTGTGAACAGGTCAAGAGGCAGAGGAGGTGATGGCAAGTATCCGTAGACAGATACTGTCATGGAGAGAGAGTGAGAGAGAGAGTGCAGTGCAGCAGCTGCTCAGGGTGTGATGTAGCGTCGCTGTAGGGTGTTGGCGATGGAGACTCGAGTGGGAGGGACTTGTGGAGTGTGTAGGTAATGGCAGAGAGCCAGAATTAGGTACTGCGGTAGAGAGAGGGTAAGAAGAGTGAGCCAGTGTGTATGTGAGTGTGAGTGTGGGTGGGTGTGGGTGTGGATGCCGAAGTGGATGTTGGTGTGGTGGGTGTGGGCGAAGGGTGGGAGGTCGCGCAATGCGGCGACGGCGTGAGCGGCAGCCAGCCCAGCACCAGATACTGCATAGCACCTACGGTAGGTTTGAAGAGAAGGAAGGTATGGAAGGCAGGTAGAAGCAGGAGACCTGACCTGCATTACAAAGCGCTGCGGGATGCATGTAACTATCTGCCTACGAGTGCCTACCTTGCCTTACCGTACCTTATTGCTTTGGGCAAGACCAGTCAGCGAGCAAGACAGCTCCCCATCCCAAAGTACCGATGTATCTGTCCACCGCGGCATACTGGCAAGATACTTGGCAGCACCACTGGCTTCCAAGCACTGCACCTCAGCCACTCGAGTTGCCGTCCCCTCGACAGATGGCTTCTCCCAGGGCGCTGCGCTAGCTACCGCAGACAGCGCAGACAGCGCACCCGGGCCTCGGGACTAACCCTCGCAGACGACGACAGGACCGCCGGCCGGGGAGGGGGAGGAGGAGGCTACTACCGATAGTGATGCGTGCCGTAAGGTAGCTAAGGTAGAACAGAAGGAGGCAGAGCTGGGGCAGAGCTGGGACAGATCAAGCTACACTCTGTCCAGCAGGCGAGAGGCTAACAGGCCTGTCGCAGGCCGAATCTGGCACCAAAGTTGAAGGCCTGTCCAGGGTGCGCTGTAAACCCTCGAGTCCCAGAGTCTCGAATCTCATCCGACTAACGACTGCTCCCCAAACCCTCATTTGCCGGGTTTGGACTTGACGGGTTCCCGATGCTGAACTTGAAATTGGACCCGGGCGGCGGGAAATGGCGACAGACAAAGAACTAAACTCCGTGCCAGGGGAAAAAGGTACTCGCTGTCTGTGTCCGCGTCCGTGTTCAATGGTTTGAACGAAAGGGGGGTCTGATAGACGCAGATGCAGAGACGAGACGTCCAAGGGACAAATTGACACACAGACTGCAGAAGAGGAACAGAGGATGGAGAAGAGATGGACACACAACGTCTCCTGTTCTTGGGCTGTCGTGGCGATCAAATCGAACAACCTACGCACAGCGGGGTGGACGTCAGAGGCGTGTAGCATGCACTCACTCTCTCTTGCACACCTACTATGTAGCCACACGCACCTCCTCCTCCTCCTCCACATAGCAGCCACTTGAGGCAAGGTACGGCGATGAAGATGAGGATAATGGTGCGGGAAAGGGTAGGGTAAGGTACATTCCAAGCCTCTTCAGGTACGAGACGACAACACACACCAGACACGCACGCACGCACGATCGCTCGCGCGCACTGAGCGAGATGGAGGGGAAGAGAGCTGCGACAAGTTGGTCAATGGCATGGAACAGACAGATGGGCACTGGCCATGGCGGCGAATCCGTCCCCCACGGCATTGCCAATGCCAATGGTGGTGACCGAGAGGGCTTAGGAGAAAAGAACAAAAGGCCGAGTCAGAATCCGGTCTGCTGATGTGAGTGATTGAGTACCGTACCGTACCATACCGTGAGTACGTCTTCATCGGCGCAAGGCGCCGTCGCCGCCAGAGACCAGCAGATGCACGACGTGTCGGAGGTAGAGGTAAAGGCTCAGGCTCAGGCTCAGGCAGAGGCCCAAAGACAGGGAGTGCCGGGACGTATGTGTGACCAGTGCACCGGTAAGAACCCTTCTTACCGGTGACACTGGACGCGCCGACGCCGCCTCAACTAGAGTTGAGTTGCCTTACTGCGTTCCCTGGGCATGGCGGTGTCGTGTGTATCTAGTACGAAAACGGCAGAGATGCACTGTACCCAGAGCCTGGCCCAGCCAAAGAGACGATGAGACGGTCTGGCCTTGTCGTCATGTCTGCGCAGGGCAATGTCACGAATACAGTGTTGCTCCACACTGCGCGAATACTGTACACCGTCCATTCGCCAGTCCGTCTCACGTCTTTTCCTTCGCTCTCTCCAGCCAGCAGAGAAAGACAAACGTCAACTGGTGTAGTCCGGTTCAGTCCAGCCACAGCCTGTATCCGAAAGACAGGACGACAACATCCAAGACATGGACCGGTAGGGCCGGTAGGGAGGGTCGCTGTAAGATTGGTCATGGCCGAGAAAGAGAAAGCCCATCCATCTTTCCTGTGTTATCCCATGTCATGTTAATAAGTGGCCATGCTTGTTGTATATCGATATCGATTTCAGGCCATGCCTTCTTGCGTACCGAGGGATTGCCAAATGAGGTAAGTTGCCTGGACCATGAGAAAGAGGAGAGGGGGAGAGCTATCCGTACTAAGCATCTCTTTGATTGACCTGCAATGACCAGACGATCCGCATCTTTCTCCAGCACGCTCAACGCTAGTGAGTTTTGTGCTCCGTAATCAATATCAGTGTGGTGTAAACCAGGCAGGCGGGAATCCAGACAAGGGCATGTGTCTCCGTAGAATGGATAGTCTGTACCCGTCATCCGTCCGCAGTCCGTAGGCTACCTTACCCGCCCTCGTGCCGTGCCCAGTAGGGCCAGTAGGAGCCCACTGCTTCTGGACACCTCATTCAACTGCTTTCTTTTGCATCTTTGGTCCCGTCTCGTCTCGGGCCTTGCCTTGGAACTTGGAGCTCCTCCTGTCTCCTGGAGACGTGGAGGCTGGGACATGAAGATGACGGATACGGAGGCAGTACCTGAGGCTTGCCCCGTCCAGTACTGGCCTGATGGGCTGGGTCCGAGCAGGCTCCAGGTCCAGTGTCGAGCTTGAATGCTTCGAGAAACAGTGCCCACCAACCCCGTCCGCCCACGACGGGGAGGTGGAAGGTGGAGGGTTGCGAGGGTCCCAAAGCAGAAGCTCTGCTCAGATGCTCGCCCCGTCGGCCCCAGAAGGCCCTGGTCTGGGCACCATACAGTGTCTGAAGATGGCATGCCAGGGCTACCTGCGCTCACGTTGGAAGTACACGGCAAATGGCAGTTGTACGGATACGCAGCACTTTGCAGAAGGTTGCTGGTAGATGTGGTTTTGCCTTGTCCTGAATATGGGCCCTCATTAGCTAGGTAGTATGTGTACTTTGCGAGAGCCACAGCGGTCAGCCAGACTTCTTGGAGGCGGAAGGAAAGTGCCGCAGCTTACCTACACTACATTGTCTAGGGCCAGGCACAACTCCACAATGCCAGATGCCGACAAGCCTCTCGTACGGTTAGGTTGTTGGCAAGCCTCGCCGAGGTACCGACGAGCGGGAGAAGAGGTGACGGTCAAACGCCATGGGCGGCAAGGTTGGCAGACGTTTCTATGTCGTCTT